GGTGCCTTGAGGACCAGTTTGAAAAATACTGCTGTAGAGACATAATGTCCATCTCTAGAAATGGATGTTAAACCAAAAAAAACATGAAGTGTCGAAAGACTCAGAGCATCTACTGATGGAGCAAAATGTGCCAAAATTACGGATTTGTTTAGCGCATCGACTACTGCATCGGTAGCAGGACGATCAATATCAGATACTGAATCTGTCCTATTGAGTGAGTAGAGCAGCTCCTGCCGTCTGGGTGAGAAACAGCGGAGGAGGAGGGGCAACGGGGACAGACAGAGAAGGACTTCAGAATAACAGCCAGATAAGGAGTAGCTGAAGATGTTAGAATTAGCTGACTGAATTAAGAACAAGAATACATTTATTTTTAGGGAAAGGGATCAAGTACTGGCAAACAGTAAAAAACAGCAGGTTTCAGTAAAACGCTTCCTGCTCTACAAAGACAAACTGTATCTGCTTCATGTCTCCAATAATACAAGAGAGATGTTTTATCTGGGGAGGGTGCAGGATTTTTAGGTGGGTTGAGCCTGTATCTACTTAGGTTTCAAAAACAGAGATCGCTAAATTTGGTGAAGTGGCCAAAAATTAGGTAAGAGCACTATCTACACAAAGTTATCCCAAAAACAGAGAAAGATCCTGGTGAAGACTCTCAGTCATCCAAGTCATAGTCATTCCAAAACTTTGTTTCCAGGTTTCTAGGATCCAGGAAGCTTTTTCAATTCAAAATGTCTTCAAACTTGTAAACAAAGTCCAGTGGATTTTATTTTTGAACTTTTTTGGAACTCCAGAGAATGAACTGGTAAAAAGCTGCTCAATCTGGCCTAATAAATGTAGACTGATTTGAATTTAATGTCCATAGATTACATAATTAGACAAAAGTACAAGGTTAAGTGCATCTCTAGAATGTTAAAGACTTGAATAAAAAAGGCATATATGTTTGCTTAAAAAAGCATTCAGCTGTTAAACTACTAAAATTACTAATAATTCGTGATTTTTAAAGTAGTACCTGATAATCAGAATAGTGGTGGTTGGTTTGTGTTCGGTGGGCCTAAACGCCACAACGACCTCTCTGGTCTCCCATGGCTGCAGCAGCAAACGCAGGACACCCTCTCCTGTTACGTCTGCTTCGCTCTCACCTGCCTGTAGAAAAACACAAAAATAATGTCAGAGAGACTGCAACACAAAAGACCAGACTGCTGTGTCTGCATGGTCCAGTCAAACTTTACATACAAACTACAAATCATGTTTAAGGTTGTTTAGATGTTTACATTTGGAGGAGAGGGCAGCAGAGAAAACTCTTCTGTGCTCATGTTGACGGTTTGGGAGCTCATATTAAACCTGTTGAAGAAAACAATCAACAGTTAGGATGTCCTGCTCCAATAAAACCAGACACTAAATAATATTTTATTTACTGAAAACATCAGCAAAACTTCTGACAGTTTACCATTTGGTTAGAAGGTCCAGAGCTTCACCAGGAGAAGGGTAGAGAGAAAGTATTCGTATCTCCACCGAAACCACTGAAGGCGATGGATTCTTCAGCAAGAATGTTTTTACCTGCAAGAAAAGGTAACAACAGTTAATCTAAAGACAGACACGCGTAAAAAGGCCTTTTTCCAGTAAAAGTCAAAGGTCATTGCTTACTTTACTCTCATTGACGGGCGTAGCACCAAAGATAAGAGGAGAGGATCCCTCCACAGGAAGCCTGGGCCATCTGAAGAGACATGTGTTAAATGATGACGTGAGATGATGAAGGATATAACTGCTGTATAGGAGTGGATCGATGTTGCACGTTACCTGCAAGGCAATTTGTCTACGTGACTCCTCCATCGAGAGCAGATCTCTGCAGCCAGTTTTCTGTCTACAGACCAGGATGAGGCGAAGAAGTCTGGCAGAAGAGAGCGCTGCCACTCTAAGCGTCCTGTCAGACAATACCAAGAAAATTTAATTTAAAAAAGCATTTCAGGAAGCAACTTCTAATGTCAAACATGTTTTTAGGGGCAGCGCTTCACCTGCTTCAGATAAGCGAAGAGGACACTGTCGTGCACATTCGTGTTCAGCCTCAAACACCACTTCCTCCTGTTGGTATAGATGTGATTAATAACCACCTCAGATTTATTTACTATATTTCCAAACCAGCAAAGCAGCAGCCAGAGCAGCTCAAGCTTTACCTTTGATGAAGTAGAATGAAAGTAGAAAGGAAGAAGCAGACTGGTGCCAAGGCTGGTGTCCAGACTCAGAGTCAGCATGTGGTTCAGAGGTAGAGTCCTGTTGAGCAGCTGGAGGGAGAGGATATGCCAGCAGCCTGTGGAAACTCTCAATGGACTGCTAAAGTTCACCACCTGACAGACAGGGGGCAGCAGATACTGTTAATAAACACCTTTGATGTTTGGTAAAGGAGAAAATAAGTTAAATCTACCAATGAACCATAAATCAAATCCTCACGACTTACCTTTAGTGCTCCCTTTGACCCCTCTGATAGAGTAGCGTTTATCACGGTGAAAGGCAGGGGGTGAGGGTTGGAGAACCACAGCTCCATCCGATTGCTGCTTCTTTGTCTCATCTGAAACAAACTGAACAAATCTCCTACTGGCCATCTGCAAAAAGCACAATAATACAAAGAGCTATGATCATTTGAACCTGCATGAACATCAACAGGAGTACAAACGTGTGTGATACCTGTGTGTGATATATAATCCCGGGAAGCCATAGGTTGTCCTGTTTCCCATCATTTTTAAACTGATATGGCTTATGCATTTCTGTCCATGGCCTGGCAATAACCCTGGAACAGGATGATACGTAAACGATTACTCAGCTTCAGTGTTTGATATTCAAGCATTTTCAAGGAGAACAGAAAGCTCACCTGTGCATGCTAAGGTGGCCACTTGAGTGAAGTTTTTTGCCTCTGGTCTCAGAAGAACCTTGTTAAAGTTGAGGCTGGCCTCCACCTTTGACAACACCTGTATGTCCTGGAAACATAAAAAAAACATCTCATTAGGTCAAAACTAATACAATGATAGGATTAAACAAAACAAAATAAACAACTTACCTTTATATAGAGCTTCTTTGCTCCTGAATTTAACATATAAACTGCTATTTTTGCATCCCCTGTGTGAAAACAAACAGATTCAGATAATGTCCCTCTTCACAGCACAAAACTAAACTTTGGGTGCTCAGATTAAAAAATAAATAAATAAAGCTTAAATAACTACAAAGAAAGAAAGACTTTTTTATAACTACGCAAAATTATTCTTCAGGAATATTTAACTACAAGCTACACATCTGTGACTTTGTGTGATAATTTCTGTCCCTGCAAATTTGAGTACAGATCATTATCACCCACCAAATGCTGCTGACCCAGCCGCAGGAACGACCAGCAGGAACAAGATGTGCTCGATGACGTAGGGCTTCAGTTTGTCAAGTTCAGCAGGCTGGTCACCACGGGCAGACAGATGAATCTGCAGACTGAGACGCTCCTCATTTTGGAGGCAGGACCCCTGGGATGTGAGAGGAAAGGCATACCAGTCATGCAACAGATTCAAGGAAAAGGAAGTATTTGAGGAATGAGCAAAGTTATAAAGACGGCAGAATGAAAATGCAAAAAGCCTGCGAGTCAAACGATGAAGGGAAAAAAATGGAATAAACAGACAATCTAAAAAAAAAAAAAGGATTAAAAATTATATCTCTTACAGAAGATTTAGCCTAGATATATATATATATAAAAACCCCGATGTTAAAAAATCAGTTTTAAAACTTTCCAATATTTAGATTTTTGTATTTAAAAAAAAGAAACCATTTTGAGACAAGTTCCAATGAGCTATTATAAGGAAGCTAATGAAACATGAGCTTAGAAACAGCTAAATAATGATAAATAATAAACAGACTGATGTTGAAGCAAAAACCAACGGTACCTGAGGGCTGCTCAGAAAACTCTTCGGTAAGCTGCACTCCAGGAGTAGACCCAAAATGGTGATGTTAGAGGCATCTTCCTGCAGAATGAAAGAGTAACAAGTGTTACATAGTTTTCCCATAATTTTCTTTTACATAACGAACAAAAATGCGTAATCTTAAGCCTCTTTCCCACTGAAAATACCAGGTTTACACGTTTTTCAACCCACTAACAATCGGCATTTGGCCAAAAAAGCTGGGTCTAACCCCTCGGTGGAAAGCTGCATGGCCTCAGTTTCCCTGCAGCTGCCTGTCTGGTGACACAATCACGCTGGGTTAACGTTGATGATGTCACCAGTGCGACAGAAATCAGAAAAGTAAACAATGGAAAGCAACATGTAAGGAAGCCAGGGCATAGCCAGTGTACTAGGGATTGAACGTTCGGTTCGATTCGTGTGTGTTGCGTTCGGTTCATGCGCAGCTCCTTTTTCTCATAGGCGAAGCGTTTACACTCCAGAGCAGAAGGTGGTGGTACTGCGACCAAAGCCAACCACCAGTAGTAAACAAGAAGAAGCGAAGCAGCGTAGGTGGGTGTAGCAGAAAAAAATCAGTTGTTGTGGAGAATTGTGTGGGTATGGGGAGTGGGAAAGAACAGGAGTTGGAAGACGCGCCAGCAGCACTTTATAGGTCTGCTGCATGGGACCACTTTGCATTTAGAGTGACCTAAGATGACAAAGAAAGTTGTGGATTAAAGTGCAACAGTGTGCAAGCATTGTGCAACACGTTTTGTTTATGCTAACAGCAACACGACCAACAATTCAGGCTAACAATCAACATATACCAAACCCAACCGAAAACCGTGACCACGAAACCTTGAACCAAACTGAACCGTGGATTTTGTGAACCGTTCCGTCCCTACAGTGTACCGTTTTGCTCTATTGTCTTCCTGAATCCCTCCCACCGGTGCTGCACCATGTTTAACAAATGTAAACAGATTGTTTCGGCTTCTTAGATCAGAAGCAACTGACGTGGTGTGTTAACATCCGTACGTTGCCTTCAATGGTGTCTCATAATTTAGCGTATCAACCCGGCTCTGGTGTTTCCCACAGCTTGCCAATCAAAGCCGAGGTGCTTTTAACGCGGGTCGTTTGACCCGGGTAAACACTTTTCAGTGAGCTGTTCCCACTGCCACTAAAAGGCGATTGTTCCTGGGTTTAAACGGGTTTTTCAACCAGTGGGAAAGGGGTATTTGTGTGAATTAGGGGATGCACTAAGGCAAATGCGGGCCTTCATTTTTCAGCTTACATATTTATTAAATACTTTATATTATTTATTTTCTTGGGTCATTGACAATATAGTCTTGCTGAAGCCCTTTCAGTTTTCTGTAATCAAGCCATTTTCTCAGGTGCTTAGGCGCGCCCCTGAGGTCATAGATTTTCATTTTCGATAGTAAGGTTTCCTCCACTACTGTTATCCACTTTGTCAGGCATTGGGAGTCTTTTTTTTTTAACCTGGTTATGGCTCTATGCTGGCAAAAAGGAGGATCTACTAAATATTAATGTCTCTTTTTGCTGAGGTGCCCATATTTTCACCTGTCAAACTTTGTTTTAATGCGTACTGCACATTTTCTGTTAGTCCAATAAACCTAAATTCAATACTGAAATATTACTGTGTCCATCAGTTATTAGACATATCAAACTGAAATAGTTGTTACAAACACCCAAATATTTAGAAATAAAAATATTTAAGATTAATAGGGATGCCCAAACTTTTTCATATGACTGTATATCCTGCAGACCCTGAATGATTTGGTCCTATAAGGCTGAAGTTTTGTACATTGCCAAGAAATATGAGTGATGATAAGCTGCCCACACTGCTGCCAACACTGTGGATGTGTGTGGAAAAAATGTATTTGATAATTAATTCTAAAATAATGCATCAAAACTTTCCACTCAAATTCTCTCCAGCTTCGGGAGCTTGTTGGACGACCTCTGAGTCTTGCGCATTGAAAGCCAGTCGCTCTCAGAGAGCTTCACATTAAATTTTGATTCTGATTTGGACTTTAGATAGAGCGATTTCTTTGTATACGGTTTTTGTAGGCATTTGTAAAGCTTGAACAGTGCTGGTGTTTGGTTGTATGCATCTGTAATTAAATCGATACACTCATTTCCTTCTGGTGTTGCTTTTTTATCAATCTTTTTAAAAACAAAAGTGTCTAATCTGAGGGTACCTAAAAAAAAATCCCCACCAAATGCTTCAAAGGTTTTGCTCTTTACAAGTGTCCAGATATCTGCAATCCCTTTGTTCAGTAAATGTAGTGTCTATTTTTCTGATTGAATCTACTTTATTTACTTTGACTGAGATTTTGGATCCTAATTAATAAACATTACGGAGTTTTCAAATGATGCTGCCACTTATGGCAAAAAAACAGAACTTATTTGGAGTTCCCATAGGTGTTGGAGTTGAGCTGGATGCTGGTTGCATCACACATCCGACGAACAGCACAGGAACTTCTGACCTGAAGTAAATCAAGGAAAATAGGCTACAGGCTAATAGTTGCATCAGCAGTGAACTACTGAGGTGTCAGTCTGCTCATCAAGCGATATTTTAGTCATAAAGGGTCAGTTTTAAAGATATTTTTCAGCAAAAATCTACATGATGCCTCTTTAAATCCATTGAGGCTTGTGTGTATGTAATTGTTTTTTTGTTTTTTGTTTTTAGATTTCTCAGTAATCAAATAATACTAGTTTACTTCCATGTGTAGAGCTGAAATTATACATTTTTATTCAGACTGTAAAATATGCCATGTGTTGAACAAACAACCTCCTCAAAACATGTACAAGTCAAAAGTGTACAACATATAGTCTACATCGGAGATAAAAAAAAAATTCTTGCTTAATCAGTATAGTTATCAGTATAGTTTCAGGCTCATCTGGTTAAAATTGTTAAAACAAATCTTATTAAGAAGCTTTTGGCTTGGTTGTGTCTCCATTTTTATCATCACTACTTGTTGAGGGCTGTACAGGGTTAAATGCTGCATTTTATGCAACTCAAGCAAGGCCACACACCCGGACTTTACTTATTTGTGTTATATTATGAATAAAATCCAGATTGGTATTGTCAAGATAGCTCAAAACGTCTTATATTTTAACCCTTATTACAGTTTTAAACAGCTTCTTCCCCACTGCCGAATGTTGAATAAAACGGAGGGGGGAAAAAAGCACTTAAGAGTGAGATATGATTTACAGTTTTTCAAACATTATGTTTACATTTTATCACTGCTGCACTTTAAGAAATAGAATTGTCTTGAGACAACTGAAACGAAATTTAGTTTTGTATACACCCTGTGTGCAAAATGACAATAAAGTTTGTCCAAGTCTAAGTTTTGTCTATATTAAATCACATTTTAGTAAAAAAATGTGCATCTCAATCTCAATTAAGTGCAGCTAAAATTATAATAACCTGTTTTACTGACCAAATTAACCTCATAATATACATTTTTAGAGTTGCACTTTTGTACGAAACTTGAGTGTCCTGACAAGTCAAAACAAAACTTCTTCTTTATCTATAATTATTTTTATTATTGTTAGCAGTATCAGAAAATAATGAAAATACATTCAAATTTCGGGTAAACGTGAGCCCAAAGTGGCTAACATGTAACTGTGAGAGCTCATCGTTATGCTGACATTTTCAAACAGTCACCCCACTTCCTGTTGTGGAGGCGAGAATATGTTTCAGATGCCTCTCACACACACTTTCACTAGTTTAAATACGAGTTAAATGGTGTGCATTCTGTGTTATGGTGGAAAACAGAGAATAAAAACTGAAAACACAGAGTCTGCCTGAACAATGGAAAGAAAATGAAGTACACATTCCTGCAGATTCAGCAGCCATCCAGTAATTTAATCAGAGTGGGTGATGGTGCGTAGGTGTCTGTGTTGGGGGGGGGGGTATTATCTGGGTTAGCAGGAAAAAGGAAATCAGCTGTTTCCAATGAAGAGCTGCTACTGACCGTTGGCCTCACAGACAAACACACAAACAAATGCATACCTGAGTTTGGGTCAGCTTTATGCTCTGGATGTGAGGAAATAATAGGAGGCTTTCTTTTCTTTGGGATGATTTTAATGAGGTTTGGTGGCCTCCCACACCAAAAACCTGGACAAGAAGCAAACAAAGCGATGAACATGCCGCCTGTACTTTAGACACTTTAATACAAGAAAAAAAGAAGTCAACAGAAAACTGAATAATTTGAGCAAACAGAGAGGGCGAATGCTTTCTCTGGACCTCACAAAGTGAAAGCGAAAAAACACGAGTAACGTATGAACTACAGTGTAAGAAGACCCTGCAAAGTATAACTTAATGGCTTAAAATGTTGTTTAAGAAAAATGGTTTTAAAAAAGAAATCATAACTAGACCAGTACAAAGGAGTGCATCATTGTGAAGGGAAGGATATTACAGTGGATGAAACATTTTTTTACCAATAAAATTCTGACAGCTTGGTAAAGATTCATTACAGATTCCCTAATACTTAAAATTCTGTACAGCCAATTGCCTTCAGAAAACCACCCAAGCAGTAAATAGTAGTTTATATCAAACATATTCATGGGTTAGAGGGGTCCAATCAAACTACAGAGATAATTCCAGATAATAAGGAGTGTGACTCGAAGAAGAAATGTTCAGAAAGGCTCACCACCCAATCGGAGCACAGTCCAGATGTGTTAAGGCTGCTGCAGACTCCACGCAAACAGACTTTTTTTCCTCACACAGCGAATTGCATTGTTTTGTTCTCTCAGCACTTTCTGATGGTTGCTCACACTATTTGCTCTAAATCAGAAGTCTGGGCAGAACTTTTATTTTGCTGGGTCACAGTTTAACTATGGTGGTGAATATGTTACTTCTGCTCATTTCCTCTAGACAAGTTTCAAAGCCAGAACTACGGGTCTGCTTTTTCTTTGGCTGTCTGCTAAGAACTTCTGGGAGCCTCTTGCAAAGAGACACAGAGACCTGTGCACCTATGGCATATATGCGACGACCTCTGTGTCTTAAATGTGGTTTTATCTACAATAATGATGGAGAGAAAGATCAGGATGCATGAACAGAGGGTTTTTAATTTCAAAACTGCTCTGTGGCAATATGACAGTAGCTGTATAGGTGCAGCCCACTCTATCCAGCTCTCCATCCTTCATAACATGTTATGGCAGAAATGGCTCACACACTGGCTTGGTTGAACATGTGCCTTCATGTTCACCAAATTGCCATGCTTGTGTATCGGTATACAGCCCACTTTGTAGCTATGGAAGTGTTGATGAGGAGGGCATTCTGGTTTTCAACAAAATAAAAAAATATTTTGCTGGTTGTAACAGTATGAACAATAAATAAGAATGCATCCATTTTAGAGCCATTGCTATCCGGAGTAAATAAACAGTGACTTTATTCAACCACAGATAAGTAGCAGGATAAGATTGGTAATAAAAGTTCAACGGAAATGTCTGTTAAACCTGCCTATAGATAATCAAGTTGGGAAGTCCCACCCCTGTAGAACTGCACTACTTTGTTGTCTCCAAATAAGCTCCAAAGCACAAGCAGAGCTTATTTCTGTCTGCTCCTCTACTACTCGAAATTAAATCAAAAGCTGTTTTTGGTTTTTCCAACTTCGAGAACAAAATAAGTGTCTTAGTTCCCATGGAGTTTGTAGCAGCTTTTAAGGACCTGATCGAACTGGACAAAATTTAGCAACGATGCAAAATTTAGATGTAAAATTGGATCGTATGAGTTTGTTGTACTTAGAGCTCACTGAAAATGCTAAGGTCACATTGCACACGATTCTCTGTAACTTAGCTTTCCTACCTCCAACTGAGATAAAACCCAAGACTATTTTGGTTGGACCTATGCAGGAATATGGCAACGAGAGACATGGTGGTAAAGTAAAACACATCCGCTTTGGAGAAAATGAAAAACCAAATCTCTTAATCTAGGGCTAAAACAATTAATTGGAATAATCATAATTAATCGATTATTGTAATAATTGTGAACTAATTTGATTATTGAGTAATCGCTAACTGGAGTATAGAGACTGTAAATATGCTTTTATGTGACAGATCAACCAACCCTTGAGCAGGATTTATAATATATATATATATATATATATATATAGCTCCATTAGGAAACAGTGTCTAAGTTAGCAGAGCAGATCTGGATATATACAATCAATAAAACATTTTAATAAAATGTATACTTTACACATGAAAGCAGCTCAGGAGAAAAGAAAACAGATAAAGTAAAATAGCATACCTCTTTAAGCTTCAAAAAAAAAAAAAAAAAAAAAAAAAAAAAAAAAAAAAAAGTGTAACAACAAGGATGCTTATGAGGGACAAAAAAAAAAGAAATTGCAGGATGCAAGGGGTGTGACCCACTCTTAAGCTGGTAGAGATAGACAACCCAAGTAATGCAAAACAGGGTTCTACTCTTACTTACACACGGGGGCTGAGTATCAAGACCAGACCACAATTTTCAGCATTTTTTTTCATAAATAGATGTAAAAATACATGTATGTTCATTTTTAAGACTTCACAATTACCCTTCCCCTTCTTCTGTCATCTGAAAACCAAATAAGATCGTATACTGACCTGGTATGAAAGCAGCCCATGGGCTGATGTGTTTATAAATAATGTGTTTTCTACATTGCCCTCCTCAGATGGGAGGAAAATTAGTTTAAAAGATGCCTTCCCCTTTGGTGGGATCACCTACAACAGGGAAAAATAAAGGAAAATGATTACACTTCAGCAGATCCGACAAATCATTCATTCAAAAACAAACATTTTGAACACACTTACTCTTCTGTGAAAGGAAGGTATGTAAAAATGCCTGCTGGATGTAAACATCGACAGCAGGGTCACAGGAACTTCCTGACTGGGGTTGTGTATATATATGGTTTCAGCTCTCGGCAACCCGAGCGGCCTGTAGACAAGAGAGCATTAAGATCAACACAAAATGCGCTAAATATTATTTTCTTAACTCACTGTAAAATAAAACAGTTCACAAGGTGTTCTCCTCTCCACAATGCAACATGTACAGTAGGTTTATATGCAAAATGCCATCAGCTGCAGAGCAAAAATGTAAACCGAGCCTTATCATCTGTCAACAAAACTCAAAGTCTCTCACAGATTAGCCCTTTGCATTCAGTCAGTATGAGGAAGCAGAACCATTTGCATACACTAGATGTAACTTGAGTTCTAAACATTTAACCTGAAAGGGTCATTTCTGTCCACAGTAAAACCACATGCACAAATAAGTCGAGTTGGAATGCTTATAAAAAGCACTTTGTACGATCAGTTCAGAGATTATCTATGTGGGCTTGGCCATCCAGTGACAATGTGTCACTCAGTTGTAACCAAGCCAAAAAAAAAAAAGTTTCAATATCAACGAACAGCACTGGCTCTCTCAGCATACAGAGCTGACAAAACCTTAAACCTTCTACCTCTTTCTAATATATATGACTTTTGCTGGAGCAAATCCAATGTTGCTGTCATTTGTTATAATAATAATAAACATTTACATTTTTTAAAATTCAAATATCAGTTAAATACAGGAAAAAGTAGACATTTATAAAACTGGTTAGGGATTGATTAGACATTTTGTGAAGCTTCAAATGAAGTGCTCTCACTTCCTGTTTTGTCTCTGAAAGCAGAGCTTTACTTTCATTTTAGAGAACAGCACCATACTCTGGAGGAACATGAAAGTTGGATACGAGGTTCAGTAATTCTAGGTTTTTGTCTTTGCTGAAAGATCAACAGAAAAAAAAAAAAATCCAGGTTCTTCCAGACATGCTACTTATTTTCTCTTTTTATTATCCGTTTAAATAGAGGGTTAATAATTCTTTAAAAAACACAACATCCATTTTGTAATATTCTTTTAATAGCCTGAAGTAGCCGGCTGACCAGGAATTATCAAACTTTTTCCCACAATGCTCCCATAAAAAGAAAACCACATGATTGATGAGTGGGATTCTGGTCCCACAGTCCTATTTTTTGTGGATATAAATTCCCTACAGCAATTATCCCTTGCTGAAGAAATATTTTTCCAGTGCTGGAGTGCCTACTTTCTGCATTCCAATCACATGATATAAATCATCTGTGCCATTGTTTATGCAACACAGAACTGGCTAAAACTGTCACTGCACAACATTAGGGCCAATCATTTGTTTTTGGAGCATGAAGGAAAACAGTGAGATTCTCAGACCCTCTGGCAAGGGTCAGCATCTCCGAATAGTACAAAAAGCAAACTTATAGCTTTATTTGGTTGCTCTTCCAAGATGGAGGTAAAGTTTTCTAAAATACTTTTTTGAAAAGTTTAACGGGGATGAAATATGTTCATATTTGTTGACATAGGGACGTCTTATCTTGTCACACAGTTATAATCCAAGCAGGTCATTGATCTCTGCAATATAAAACAATGGGAAAGAAAGACTCTTACTGTGTTCCAAAATCCAACACTGGGGGCTGAATATGCAGAGGCATCCCATTCTCATGTGTATATGGAGAGGAGCTGTTGGACAGAAAAGGCATGCAATAAGTGTTACACATAGGCTGCATCAGGAAAATCATAAGCATTTTCTAAAAAAAGAACAATGTGTCTAATTTTGGACAACAGTATCAATGACAGGCATTCATTAAGTCAGTGTCCAATTCAAAAGAGGAGTCAAATTCAATCTGCCATTGATAGCAATGCAGGTAGTCAGAGCTGAGCCTGGCCCAGTCCATACAGAGACCGGGAGTGTTGGGCCCACATGGATCCACGTTGTGGGAAAAACCCCAAAAAACTGTCATGTGGAGGAGGGAAATAGTTGTGATATTTTATGTTCACAGTGCGTCTTTTCTGAAATCATGACATTGTAGCTCCATCTCTACCAGTTTCTTTGCTGCCCTGTTGCTGTGTTTACATCTGCACATCCCTGGTGTTAGTGCTGCGCTACTTGACTAAAACGAACCCTATGTAAATCTAACCTTAAACCTATTTAAAAATAGGTCTGTCTTACTTCAAACCTTATTATGATCGTCTATATATGTATGAGAGGTTAAATCCTTTTTTCTGACTAAATCCCCCAGAAGACGATTTGGTTCTGGATCCCAGTCTTGTGTAATTATTTAAAATCTTATTGGACCTATTGTTTTTGTTGAACGATTCAATTTGTTTCTGAGTAAATTTCACAGTGTCTTCAGAGGGCCCAGCATACATATAAGTTGTGCTGCCTGCAGTCATGTAGCTGCACATTTCCTCCAAATCATTTAGGAAAAAATACTGTTGTTTTGAACAAGAGGCTTAAAGTAGTTCTGGGTATTGGTTCAAATTTCAAGAATGAATTAGATTACTTTTCTCAAGACTTAAAATCAATTCTTTTTATCTGATATTGAATTGCTGCTGTAAAAAAAACTATGTTTTAGCTGTTACCTGAATAACATGCAACATATTAATACTAGTATTACATTAACATTTATTCCCAAATGAATTGTAAAATGCAATTTGTAAAATCAATCCCAATTCATTGGGAATTGATTTTACAAATGGGAATTTTACAAATGGGATTTTTTTTTTTAGCATTTTATTTTGTGCCTGTAAGACAGTACTAACTTAAAAACTATTTCTCTGTTCTTCCACAGTGAAAATGGACAGCCTGGTCTCAACGGAATTTAGATGACCAAATGATTAGATGCATCTATAGGGGGGAACAGCTGCAGCAAATGATGAATCCATTTGAATACTCTGTTGGCATTGAAAAAGCATAGCCAAGAATATAGTTAGCATCCGATCCTAATATTAAAGTAGAGAACTTCTTGGGAATATTTAAATGTATCCATTTTCTATACCTACTTATTCTTGCAGGATTAAAGGGATAATTAAGTGGTCATTAAGCAAGAGACACTGTACATGGACCACTTGACAGCGGACCTTCACAATAAAACACCGATACACCCACTTCAAACTATCGCTCACTCCTCAGGACAGCTTATAGACAGTCATTTGCTAATGCAGTTTTGCTAACAATCAAATATGAGGGGTATATTGTCTTAAGTATTGTTGGATGATGATGTGAATCAAACTGAAGCAGAAATTAATCGCGTGGCTCCAGATTTGTGCTGACCTCCTCAAGTCAATACTTTTTAATCTCAAAACTGGGGTGTAGAAAAACCTTCAGGGCTCCTCTTCTATTAAGCATTTAGTGTCAAAGAAAACACAACTACTACTTTATTTTTTTCATATTTAATAATATTTTGCTAACTTTGCATTTGCATCAATGCCATTTAAATGACCTATGCCTGTGGTGACCCTGTGTTACATCCTAAGCTGTAGAGCAGGGTGAAGTTAAGCCGGAAAGCAAAAAGTGACACATACAGAAGCTGAATGTCACTGTGCAACTCTGTCAACAATGAGGCGCCTTAACACGGCTGCTCACCAACAGCAGAAAGTTAAAGCTTTACGGTCTATGCTTTATAAAGCCCAATAAACCACTGACAATGCTGCTGTAATCAGAAAGTGGTCTAATCTACTACTAAACAGTCACTACAACCATTTAAACCTTGCTTCAGAAGACTGCTAAAAAGCAGAAGTTAAAAGTGATGTTCACAGTGTGTCTTCAGTCTCAGAGTTAAAGATTAATGTCCCATAAAGAAACAATACTAAATAAAAAAAGAAAGAAGAAATGGGTGACAGTAAATGCAACCAATAAGTCACCTTTTATTTTTAAAACAGATGGTATTAATGACCTCATTGGTAAGAAAGATAATTTCCTTTTAAGGCATAAGCAACTCTAGAAAAGAACTGGCTGGCTGGCAGCATGCACAAAAATGTTTGAACATGATCGATTTGTATTTTTCTTCTTCAGCAGCCAGAGTCAGGAAAACAGTTCTCATATCTCAGTCTACAAGCCGCAACAGCCCCTCTGCTGCTGCTGCTTCTTACACTGCAGGGTCAGTTTTACAGATGCAGAACTACAGTAGAGGAAGTGACTGACATTATGTTCCACTCACTCTGCAGCAGGTTTTTAGTTTCAGGTTGCAGACACCCAAAGCTTTATTCAGACCAAGTGTTAAAAACGATAAGATTAGATGCAGGAGTTTCATTTGATTTTAAGTAAGTGTACCCATATACAAGTCATGCATGTGGCAGCAAAGTACAATATTCAAGGCTTGGTTTTACAAAGTGCTAAACGGTTATATAACATTAAAATGCTTGTCCTAACAAATCTAGATATTTTTAAATCAAAGATATCCTAACTAGAAAGTTGATCAGATGTAAAATGGTTTGTATATCTATAAACTTTTGATTCAGTGTATCTGTAAAAGCGTTTTGTCATTTAGGCCCAGTGTACACATGAATCGAGCATTTTTAGACCCCTTTTGAAACCTGGGTCCCAAACTGGAAAGATTTTAGAACACTTATTCCTCTTCTCTGTGTCTCTCTTTAGCGAAAAAATAACATCTTAGTTCCACCTCTTGCTGTATCAGCTCTGTGCTGCCATGTTGCTGTTAGTAAACTGAATGGAGAGGTAAAAGGGGGTTTAATTAGATAAATAACCTCTAAAGGGTAACTTTAGAAGAGCTGTAGAGAACTGCAGATCAGGTGGATTCTCCAAATGTAACCTTTATTGAATAATGTAGAGACAACTGCTGGTAGAAGAAGGTGGTCTGATCAAAAGAGGCCAACTTTTTTTTGTCTTGTCTAAGTGCAAAACAGTATTGTAGCTGGAAAGTGGGACATTTTCAAAGAGGAATAAAGATCTAGGTAACACTAAAGAATGAATTGCATGAATTTGTTTTTTGGTTATTGTAAATGTTCAGCTGAGTTTTTGCATTAGCTTAACTCAGTATAGTCCATTTTGTCAGGCTCTGGTCATACAGTACATATGAGTAATACAGCATATTTCCTTTAGTGGAAAAAACAGGAAAAATCCTCCATTTAACCAACAAGTACTGTACTGTATTCTAGCAAACGGGTTTGACCACTGCTCAGTACAAAAATAACAACTTGTGTTGAGTGCTATTTGATCCCTGGGATGCAAGTCAAACAAAGTTGGTGTTAGTCGTGACCTCAGCTGTGCTACAGGGGAGAGGTTAAGACAAGAAGAATCCAGGTTTCTAACCCTATATTTAAGACCATCAACCTAAAAAGAAGGCAGTTTTAAATGACCAGAAATCAAAAGTGAAAAAGAGAACGCTAGGAGAGGAGAGAAGTCTTTTGCAGCCCTATCACAGATGGAAATGTCATTAACCTCTGCATGTGCTTCCTGATTAGCTCTCTAGGCTGGGAGAGGGTGATGGCAGGCCTGGTAAGTGCCTGATAACCCACAAGCAAGAGGTCACACAGTCCATGGCTCTGTCTGCTTTTAGACAAACCAATAGCACAAAGTAGCATTTACCTCACCTGGATTTAAAGGCAGGCATATTTCAGCACAAATCAGCTGATCTAAACTAAAATAGACTTTATCCTTTCATCTAAATGCTTGTCATGTTTGTTCTTTTAGTAAGCTTTATTTGCTAAAACAACTTCTTTTATCAAATTATCTTGGTTAAAGCCACAAAAATGCACAGTATACTAAGTATTGCTCTGGTCTAAACCAGCACACACTAAACATAAAGGCTAAATGTTACATAACCACTTCCTCCAACTGTAAGACAGTCTTTACATTACTGCCATGACTTTCTCATCTGTGCATCTCTCTTGAAACATTAAAAAAAGCAACAAAAGAGAGAAATATTCATAAGGAACAACCAGGCGCCAAGATGGTTCAGTTTCCAGGCACTCACTAAGACCTACAGGACATGCTTAAGAAGACAAACTGCTGATTTTCTGATTATTACAGTTTTTTGTTGTTCTTTGAAGAAGCAAAAAAAACATGAGGGAAAGACAGACCACCTCTCCTTTTTATTTTTTTCAAGGAGTTCTAAAATTAGTCAGGAATTTGGTTCTGTGGCTCTGGAACGCACGCCCCCAAACTCTCTGTCACACCCCTTCTTCTACTAACATAAACAGCCTGCATGCTGGGGAAGACTTTTAAAGGACCTTTTCTTGCACAGGGATATTAGACTGGAATCAGACGTCATTTGTGAATAAAAGCAAAAACTCACCACAGTGTTACAATACTTCTCCCCAAACTTTCTTTTTCAAAGTCAAAGGAAACTAAATTACCCACCAGGACTCTGTCATCCCTATCTTGGCGCTAAATAATGGAAAATTAATTATACGGATTTGTATTGCATCAATCAAGCACTTTAGGAAACTTCCTAGAAACCCCAAACATTTCTCATGGCTCAATTCAAACATGATTCTGCTGTTAATAATTTAAAGTTTCTTAGAACTACAATGCATCAGAAACAGGAACAAAAACAAAAAAACAAAGTTGAAGGAAAAAAGAAATGAAGGAACCCTACCTGTCTTCTAGTGGAAGACCGTCTTTTCTTCTCTCCTCAATCACCTGCAACAGAGAAAAAAAAACTTCACTGTTTGGTTAGGTTTACGTTGTAAAGAAAAATATTTTTCATCACACTGTGCTCTTGGGAAAGTAACTAGCTTAATCAAAATACAATATCATATGATAATTGAGACATGGATTTCATTCTCATAGACTCTTCAGATTATGTCTGCATGATATCAGAAAACCTAGCAATGACAACACTAGTAATAACGTAACAATCAGGTTTGATAATTGCCTATATTCTTTTCAGTGAAAATATAAATGGAAATATATCCCCAATAAATAGTACAGCTTTAAGTCAGGAGTTGAATGTAATGTTTAATATTGGGAATCCTCTCAAAATGTAATCAACTTCAGTTAGCAAGTTGAGAATTAGTTGCTAAATTAAAATTAGAGGACGTCAAAACAAGGAAGTCAAACTTAAAATACACATGCTTTAAAGAATGACCAAGCAAAAGTGGAGACTTTTTCTATCTGATTAAGAGAAGCAGCATAAAACCAACAATTTCCACACCAAAGCACAAAGTAGTCCTGACGGGTTCTGAAGACCATAAATGTGTTCAATTGGCTTTAATTGCCGTTTTTGTGGCAACCTCTCTGGCCACGAATGTCCCACTGTATCATGTGCTACTACACACATGTGGGATGTTAGGATTATACAGTACAAAGACAAGTTTTTTTTTAAAACTCAGATCAAGTAATTTATTTCCACACTGTAGAGAGATTTCTCCTGATTTTTTATGCTGTCTGACGCATACAAATTAACTTTAATTTTCATTTAATGAAACTGTCCTTGAGTCTGCATTTTCAGGAATGGCACATTTAAATCACAACCAAAAAATATTTTAACTTATTGATTATCGATTTTCCTGTAGACTTGGCTTTAAGTTTCTATGTTCTATTTTTTACTCCTTGTTCATCTTTTTATGGATTTATAATAATTCATATAGTTTTTTTTTTCTTCGTATATTGTGCCTAACATATAGTCTGCAAATAATATGACTATAGAATGCATGTTTGTTAAGTTTGTGCAGATTGGTAAACTGTGACTGAACCAGCCATTGGGACAGGTAACCTTAATTTTTGATTTACATTTTCCACCATTTACTGCGACAAAATATTTCCAACCTGTGAAAATGAGATAATTATGTAAAAAAAAAAAAAAAAAAACAGAGACAAGGAAAAATCTATGGCTGAGGAAGAAAAGGAGAGGGAAAGAACCAAAGTTTCTACATGAACCAGCGGCTCCAATGTCTCCTCAAAGTTATAGCAACAGGACCCAACTTGTCCTCCGCCTCCTTTTAATTCACTTAGACCAACACAGCCAAGGCAGCACTTGCTGGGAACAACAACCCATTACACTCCCTTTCACTGGTACCAGGTATTGATAATCTGTGATGCAAAATACTAAAATGCTCTTATATGGAATATCTGTAAGCATCAAAAAAAAAAAAAAAAAAAAAAAAAAAAAAAAAAAAAAAAAAAAACAGTTTCACTGACAAGGACACTCGGGTCTGACTGGAGATGCTGTGTTCAAGTATAAATAAATCAAATCCAATAATGACAAAAAAAAAAAAAGTAGCTAACAGCCTTGTACACAGAGGAGACAATGTCAAAATTTTGTTTTCAGCAAAGGAGAGAAGATTAACCAGTAAATCAACAGACATCAAATAAGGCTTATATTGACTTTACCTCTCGTGATAAGACATGAAATGAAAGGGGGTCTTTCTGCATGGAGTTTGCATGTTCTCCCTGTGCATGCGTGGGTTCTCTCTGGGTACTCCAACTTCCTCCCACAGTTCAAAAGCATGAATGTTAGGTTAATTGGATTCTTTAAATTCTTCTTGTGTGTGAGAAGGGCTGTTTGTCCTGTTTGTCTCTGTGTTGCTCTGCACATTGGTTCCTCCACTCAACTACTTTCACAACTATTAGACCCATTAGCCTAAAAACCTAAAAGCTGCTTGTTACACTAGTGCTAAAAAAAGCCCAAATTAGTGACACAATATTCTGTATTTTGACAACCAATGCCAAATAAATGCATTGACACCATGAGACCATCGCATTAGCACTTAAGGTTACAAAGACATGCATCTAGTCTCATTATCTTTCATTTAAGTTAAATAATTAAATCCCTTTTATTAACATCACGAGTTTAGAGGATTTTCCAATGAGGTATCACAGCATATATAGGGTAACTTTTATAGAGCTGACCGAATGAAAACAATACAATGAGAAACGTATTAGTACTTTTAAAACAAATATACCGGTTATCCATTGTGAAATAATGATGGCCTCCATACACTTTTAGAGTAATGGTGGAGGACTGAAGCTACAACAATAGTTACGTTTACATGTGCAAAACTTCTCCGATCCGATCCAAACCTTGGATGATCCCAAGTTTTAAATCTCTGTTTACATGGACACCAAATAAAATAATCCAATTGTGACAAGTGTTTACATTAGGGATGTATATCTCTACCACTAGGTCAATTCGATACTTATCTCAATATATTACTACCGATATAACAATATAACTGCGATACACTAATCCTCACTGTTGATACAATGCGAAACAAATCACTCCTGTTCATGGTTTAATGTGATTAAAAAATGATTTCATTACTATATGACTTCATAAGATTTAGTATATGTGATCATTTGATATAGTTATTCTGGCTTTGAGGATTGATTAGCTTAACCCACTAGGTTTCAATAGAATAAAGCAATACATGTAAAAATAAAAATTTCAAATGTAGTTATCTGGATTTTACTCTACATTTTTTGTCTCAATAATGCCTATAGAAAAGCAGCTTCTGATGGAGATGTGCCGCTTCAACATCAGAGATGGATGCAAGGCAATCTATTTCCAGGATGTTTTATGATTTAAAGAAAAGAAGCATTTCCAAAGAAAAAACAGCCTGAATGTCACAGATTAATAGAGAAATCATAGCAGTAACTGGAAACTGCTAATAAATGAAAAGCGTAATATTCAGTGAACACATCGGCTGTGTTAAACACTACACATGAAAGAAAAACGCTTTTTTTTAATGTGTGTAATGTAAATACTAGGAGGCATAAAATCAGATGAGTTTATCCACTATTAGAATCATCTGCAACCCTGAACTGAATGAACTTTGATAAAAAAAAACATGAGGGAAAGAACAGACAAATTACACTCCGCATAAATAAAAACGAGAAAGTAATAGATTTCAGATTTCTATTCTGTGTCTGTTTAGAGCAAACAGAGAGCACTAGCTACAACAGCAAATACATGCACCTTCAGATTTCATGCTACTCACAAACCACAGAGTGCTACTGCTCTCAGATTGTTGACTATATCAAGATTTCCTGCCCAAATCATCTGGGCAGAAAAAAACCCAAAAACATATTCTTCCTTTTTCTTGGATTAATTGTTGATGCACATAGAGTGGACTTTGATGCATTCAAGAATTAAGGACATTTTACCAAGCTTTTCTTAATGCACTAATTAAACAGACGTTGACAGAAATCTTTAATATATCATTGGGCTATAATCATTTAAGTTTTTTTTAATTGTGCTAATGCTTTGAGATTGAACATGCAGCTAATTTTGCTTCTTTTGACCATATAATCCAGCTGAGTGAGATATTTGTAATATTCCCCACAGAGGTGAAACATTGTAACTTTCCTTCAACTCTGAACTATTATCCCAACTTGGTCTATTTCTGAAGCCAATACTGCACCCAATTTCTCCCATTTTAAATTTGATTCAGTATCAGATGGCACCGTTTGATGTCTTACTCTAATTTAGCGCTCACTGAAAAAAATTTTCTTTTAATGGCACACTAAATATCCCATCCTATCTAACATGGTTCTTGGTTCCATCCATCCATCGATTATCTGACACGCTTTATCCCGAGTTGGGTCGCGAGTGATGCTTGTGCCTATATCCAGCTGTATACGGGTGAAAGGCGGGGTACACCCTGGACAGGTGGCCAGTCCATCGCAGGGCAACACAGAGACAAACAGGAAAACAACCACTCACACACACTCACACCTAAAGAGAATTTAGAGAAGCCAATTAACCTAACAGTCATGTTTTTGGACTGTGGGAGGAAGATGGAGTACCCGGAGAGAACCCACGCATGCTCAGGGAGAACATGCAAACTCGGTTCTTGGTTCCCACCATCTTTATTGCATATAACCTATGTGCTTGCGTCAGTGTGCAGCTCATAACGGGTACATGATGGTGCATTTATGTTCCCACCAAAAAGACTAAATAACTGATTTAACCATGGACTTTGCTGGTTCAAAGTTGCACCGTTAATCAAGCCTCAAAATTAAACAGATGTACATTAAATCTATGGATGCATCAGCATCCTATGTATGCGTGTTGCACCATTAATGTGATTCTGTGAATCTCCTCATCCCTAGTATGCATGTCATGTACCAAGCTTTTGATCAGATGACATAATTTGAGCATGTGCTGTAGTGTCTAATTCTCCAGAAATGATTTGCTAATAGAAAAAGAAGCTGTCTGTTTTGTAAAGAAACCCGTACTTGTCTGCTTATCGCCAAATTTAGCTACCGTACTCTTTGTGCCCCACATATGTCTTTCCCTTCAGTTGAGTCTAGTGATGTGTTTTTCCTCAATAAGAACCTTTGTCGCATCTAACTTGTGTTTTTGGTGGTTTTAGTGAAGGGCTCAGCAGCACCCTATGCTGTCACTGGTTAGCAAAGGGTTATAGGGCAGGATGGCAAGTTCATCCACACATTACATTTAGAGCCACCTCTTCCACCGAGGAGCCAAGGAGCCAGTGGATGAAGGCTAGTACAGAGAAAAGTTCACGCTGATGTTATACAAATGTGCAGAAATGATTTTACTCCCAATATCCCAATGGGTGGTAACATGGACACCAGTTGGAATGGTGATCGAAAAAACCCCACCTCTCTCAGTCGGAATAAATTTCTTTCCTATCAGACTGACTTGGATTAGAATCTTCAGTCTGACATTTTTACACATTTCGATCTGATCAGGCCTTTAATCTGATTATTTGTGCCCCTATAAACATAGCTAATGATCAGCACATTTGAAGGCTTCCATGCTAATAGAAGCAGAGAAAATAGTAAACGCAAAAGAAAGGATTTTGCAACTGGGTAATGGATGAAAAGTTGTAAAGAAAAGTGGAAAGGATGTGTTTAATTAAGACTGTGGAATTAAAGTAAATTAAGAACAAACTAAAGCACATTAGCTTAATAAAAAAAGAAAAAAAAAAGATTATATTAGATCGGCCTCATAAAACTCCAGTTTGGAGGGCCAGTGTCCTCCAAATCATGAATGTGACTGAAAACCTCCTCATGCACTTAAGTCATGTCTTTGACCTGTAGCATACAGTAGCTCCTGCATTTTGTGCTGACTACCAGCAGCTCCACTATGTCATGCTCTGTTTAACACACGCCATGTAACTGATACACTGTCCCTACTCATTGTGAAATATGATGCCCAACCATATCAACAATCAAAGTGACCCAAAAGGATAATATAAAAAGATATAGCTCCTTAAACTGGCACAAATGGAAAATTATTGCAACATACAGACTCATGAGTAAGTATCCAGAAACTTTCTGAGCACCTCCTTGGAGAATAAATGATCTGTAATCATTTTTCCACAATATTAAGAGATTTAAATTTTTTTTACTACATTGTACTAAAACAGTTTTCATTTTCTTGTTGTAATCTCAGGGACTTATTCTAGATAAGAGTCTTGCAGAAAGAATTTAGCACAGTGCCTTCAGGTAGTACAGCATCAGGTGATCTATCCCATGACAGGTTTTCTGTACACGCTTCCACTGTTTATGATATCTGTGTTCATATTAACATTATCATTACAAATAACCACTGGAGAGTCATAAGAAGAGGCCTGCACTGATATAAAAAAATAAAGAACAACATAAAGAGAGGGATAAAGAGGACAAACTGCATTAGCAGGAAAGGAAAAGAGCATATATTTACACATATGCTTTTGGTACAGAGATAAAGATAGATAAAACTTTGGAAGCATAATTACATGAAGGAATATCCTAACTCCTCAGCAAGGTGTTTCTGCTTTCACATCCACGCCCCCTCAGTGCATTTAAAAGCTGCTGTGTAGTGATTATGATACAACATTTGCATACTTTAGTTGCTCCATCCTTTAAAACACACCCAAAAGGGAAAGTATGAATACCTGTAGTGGGACGAATGGGTCCGACTCCTCTGGTTGCCAGACTTCAACAACACTGGTGGACATCTGACCCAAAGCTTTGTGGAAAAAAGATGAAGAGAAATTAAGCCGTGCAGAAAGTAGAAACAGTATCAGATGCGAGAAGCAGATTTTGGAGAAAAGCTATCAGTCACTAGTAATAGAATTAAGTGAAATAGACTCAACAGCTTCTTACTTTTATGTTTAGTAAAAAGAATATTTTGAAGAAAAAAAGTAATGTTTATTGCATTTTTTTTCTTGAATTCTCTATCTAATATATAGATGTTTGGTTAACAAAGTCAGCCTTTTATTAAATTTTAGTTTTATGTTAAGCCTTCCTAAATTACATATAACATTTGAATTCCCACATCACATCTTAATCATTTTATCAGTCTCTTTCAGGAGTTCTCGCCGGAAAACTACAAATATATGAACATAAATAAAAGCAAATCAATTGCGTAATCAGCCTGTATAAAGGTATGGTCATAATTGTAAAACTTGACTGCAATCCTTACAAGAGTTTGTAAATGATTTAAAACTAAAACCTCTTTACACAAAGAGAATAGAAGGTAGTATAAATGAGAGTTTAAAAAGATGCAGTTTAAACTTTATGATTTAGAGATGATCTGACAAGTCTGTAGTAGATTTAGGAAAACAGCTGATGTAAACTGGTTACACACTCCCAAACTGCCATTGCTCTGACCAAATGAGCTCCACTCATTCATCTTTTTACCTGCAGTATCTTTGACTTTTTACAAATAAGATGTAAAAATTAACAAGTAACAAGTCACACTAGGGCTGCAACTAACGATTGTTTTGCAAATCGATTAATCTGTCGATTATTTTTCGATTAATCATTTAATAATCGGATAGCCAAAGGTTCCTTTAAAGAAGATTTTTTTTTTTTTATTAAACCAGGTGAAACTGTCTCTATACTCCAGTTGATGATTAATCGATTACTAAAGTAGTTAATGATTATTTCAATAATCGATTAATCACAATTAATCAAATTGTTTCTGTCTTAAAACAGACATTAACTTGAAAATTACACTATAATTTGGCTATCGCAGGTTTAAAAAAAAAAATTTTTAACATCAAGTCTGATACAGTTTATATGAATTTTAAATATAACATACCTGCTACAAATTAAATTACAAATCTGCTTGATAACTTCAAGTTAACTGCACTTTAACTGAAATATCCAGAGTTTTGTAAACACATGTGTAAAAAAACCTGGATTATGACTTTTAAGAGATTTTAGAAGTGGAATGGGATTTTGATCTTTGGGCTAAACTCTTCTGCAGAACAAGAATCCCAGTTTCTGTCTACCAAAATGCTCCTTTCAGAGTTGGATTGTTAGGATACCTCATGCTCTATGTAAATCTCTTTGCAGGCTGCAGAAAGACAAAATCACCAACTATTCTCACTCCTTCCATCTATACATGCATATTTGCAAACATTAACGAGCTATTATGTCTTTACCGTGCACATGGTCCAGTGTTATTTAAATGTGATAAGACTTTACAGTTAATATTTATTTAATAAATGCAACTATATTATCTTCTGATCTAAATTTAGATTTACCTAAAGCTGCAGGTGTGAAAACAACCTTAAATGTATTGGTTTATAATAGGTTAAACTGAACTGAATGGAATCTGACTGCTAGGGTGTAGAATAAAATGTCTTAAACGTGCATAATGCTAACATGAACTGAATGTTTATCGAGAATATTGCGTTGAGGTGATTCTGAGGTCATAAATTTAAGCTAAATTTAATTATTGGAGATAAAGATGTGAAATTGGAGTGAATGACAAGCAAACATACCAGCCAGGAAACGAGTCCAGCTCGGGAAGTTGACAAAGGCTGTTTGCTAGCTGATGTTTTAGCTGTTAGCTCAGAGGCTAACGAACTTGAAATTAATACTCTAACGCTGAGGAATGAAACAGAATTAAGCAGCATAGAAATGCCATAAAACACCATTTATCTTTAATTGTAAGAACGGACTACATTAGTGGTAGGACATTTTAGCTTCGCTAACATTTTTGAGCAAACCGCAGTCAGGTAGCTAACTTCAGTTTTTTTCTCTCCCAGCAACGGTTGTTATTGTTCCACCCCCGAAAAAGGCCGAAAATAAACCTGAATACAAACCTTGCAGCTGAGCCCCTCCATGCTGGACGTGTGGTAGAAGTATTTGAAGTATTCCTAGTAGTATTTTAATCCAGGTTTTCCTGTGACAGTGGCTGCCTTGGTGGAAGTCGTGTAGCCCCGCCATGCCGCTCAGTGAGCTAGCAGCCTGCAGTGTGCTTTGCTGCGTCGCTCTATGTCTGTCTGCGCTGCAGCAGCAGCAGCAGCGGCGGCGGAGGAGGCAGCAGCAGCTTCCTCACCGCCCGCTGAAACACAGCTTGGAAAGGGCGTAACTCCCATCAGAGCTGACAGCACGTCTCTGGCAAAGGGTAAAATAAACAAATGACAGAAAGGTTTCAGGGTATCCGTTTAAATTACTCTGTAGTGGTGGAATGTAAACAAATATAGTTGTTTTATACTTCATCCTTTGTCGGGGGTCAACACAGTTTATTGTTATTTCATAGTTTTTAATTAACTTTTGTTACTTAAAGTCAGATGCAAGCAACACAGCAGTAAAACTGTCCAGAACAAAGGCAGAGTATAACTAATCTTCTGGTTTTTATTCTGAGCCAGCATGGGGTGACAGTGGAGGGGAAAGACTTCCTCTCAACAGAATCAGAACATTTGCCTCAACCTATATGGGGGTTAAAGGTATAGTGAAGGATGTTCTTTTTCCGGGTGGATCCGATTTTTTGGCCCATATGCGACCTGTATCTGATCTTTTCATGGCTGTCTGAACAACACAGATCCAATTTTTTTCCAATGCGACCCAGGCCACTTGGCTATGTGGTTCTGAATCCGATATGAATCAGGTATTTTCAAATGCGACCTGTGTCTGAACGGCCAGGTCGCATTCATCCGACCTGAACGCCATTAATACCCGACGAAGGTCACTATTCTGGGTCTTGCTAAGAAGAAGCGGCAAGAAAAACAACAAGAATGGCGGACGATGATACGGAGAGCAGTATTTATGTTTAACCATCTTGAAAAGATAGTTTTTATGGTTGGGAAAGGTCGCTAGATGCGCTCCGGAACTACCATCCATGTTTACTTCCGTAAACATAGCACGCTGACCTGTGATGTCATTGCGTCCTCTACTGCGCATGCGGGAAAATTGCGTTATATGACTGCAGTTCACAGAGGAGATCACATACAAGTTGCATATATTGGGAAATGTGAACGGCAATGCAAAAAAATTGGAATTGAGCATCAAGGCCTGCAGTGTGAACGTAGCCAAAATAATCCTCCTAATTGTCAATCACTGTGGTGATATATTTACGTAACTCTCATCCCCATTTTCATCCCTGGACTCTATGGCAGGGGTGTCAAACTGGTGCGAGTAAGGGCCATGTGGCTGCAGGTTTTCTTTCCAACCAAGCAATAGCACACCAGACTCCAGTCATCCTATCAAGTGAGTCCAGTCTTAACATGATGACTTGATGAGATGACTGGAGTCTGGTGTGCTATTGCTTGGTTGGAAAGAAAACCTGCAGCCACACGGCCCTTTCTGGAACCAGTTTGACATCCATGCTCTATGGTGAGTCTGACATAGTGGAAAAATTGCAAACCTTTTGGAGCGTAAGCTTGTATGAGCGTTGCAAACAGCAACTTTTAAACAGAGCGTACAAGAGGCGAAATGGGCTCGTGCATGCTCTCGCATGCGTTTGATAGGCGTTTCCTCTCGGGATCGAGTACAGGGCTGTGCATCTGTTTTTTTTTTTCTAAGTGGAGAAGGCGGGTCTTTTCAAAAATTAGTGAAAATCTTCCATTATACCTTTAAGTGAAGAGAGAATTGAGGCATCGCTGATTTCTTTGGTCACAACAGCATATCTTTAATTCATATTCAGTACATTTCCATTGTGTTGCTTCCTGCTTCTACTTATAGCCATGTTCTCAAATTATAGTTTAATTCCGACAAACAAGAAATGCCCAGATCTCAAACATGTACTAACTGCATGTTAGCTGAAAATGTTTAGCTTTTTATTCCCAATTACTTGATTTAAATCCCAGTTGGAAACTGACGCTTCTTATGAAACAAATCAGACTGAATTTCTTATAAAAACGAAAAAAAAACACTGCATTATAAAACTGAGCATCCACAGACTGAGAATATAGAAAATAAATTAACTGGCTTGTTATTCAAGCAGCTACGCTACAAAGCAAATAAATAATAAACATGATCATATAAAGAGAACACACCTGAAGGTTCTCTGATTTATTAATACTCTGTGAGCAAAAGGTATAAAACACTCAACTCTATTATGTTTGTGTGAAGCAGTCACAGCTTAAAGGCCATTCTTTAACAGGGGAATATGAGGTATGAATGGTTTTTCTTGTTTCCCTTGAGCAAAAATTATTTTCCTCCATTCTTATGAGACATTATTCCAAGCCGTGTATTCCCCTCTTCTGTGGAAAGAGTGGTAAAGAGCATTCCCCTTTCTGAAGATGCTGTGGTCTGGTCCAAAGAATTCCAACGTGTGCTCTTTGGAGTCTCCTTTGAGTCAGCAATACCATAAACTGCATAAAAAATTAAGAGAATAAGGCATCTGCCTTTCTAATATGAGGCGCATTTTGGATCCATCACACTTTTATACTTTCTCCAAAATCTTTCAGTGGAATTTCAAGAATTTCTTTCACACCAAAACATATTTATATACACTGCAGAAGTATATATAGTTTATCCCAGTAGCTATTAACGTTCATTGTGTAAGATAAAACTTCAAAGGTTTTGGATGAGTACAGATGATGGCTGACCCTGAACTTGACAGCAGTTCATTTGCTTCTTATGCAAAGTAGCATCTGAGAACTAGACACATTTGAGGCAAAATGACTTATCCATTTATATATTTGCAACAGCATATTACCAAAAATTTGAGTATATGATGTGCCTAGTATCCTTGGGTTATTTCTGACTTGATTTTAAGAACATTCTTATTTAAGAATAATGGCATTAAATTAATATTCCTTTTGTCGGTGTGTAATTTCCATAGAAGTCTTCAGGGAACAAAGGTAGAGATTAAAAGCTGAATCTAAATGTTCTACAAAAGCCAGAGAGTGAAACTCTACCAGCTGTAATGAAGGTGTTGACAGGCAGCATGTCAGCTGAATGAATCATGGTTGGGACAGGTTGGGCAGGTAGGTACCTGCATGAGGCAACTTTTCACAAATGTGGGTGTGTCAGCGTTCTTAAAACTGGAACTTTTTTTTTTTACTTCCCCTATGAGCTGCATTGATATTAGTGGTTCATTGCACATTAAAGACAGTGCTGCACATCTAAAGTTGTATGATTGCAAATACAAAAAGAGAAAAACATCCTACATCAGTTGAAGGAGCTAGAGCCTATCCCACTTGTTATCAGGTGGGTTACACCCAGGTTGCTCTGCAAAGCAATTGTAGACCAACACAGTCACTCCCCTAGACCATTTAAAAAAAATTACATTTCTGCTTGAGAGGAAACGCAAGAAGATAAGGGGCGGGGATTAAAAAAAACCTTGAGGCAGCAATATGATGATGTGACACCCACAAATGGTACATTTGAAATTTAAATTAGCCAACCAACACGTACAACTAGGTCAGATGAGTAAACACAGAACAACCAAATACCTAATTTTGAACTTGTTTAAGCAGAAAGCGGAGAGAGGAAACAGGGCAACAGTCATTTTGTCCATTTTAAGACAACAGAGTTCCCTTTTCTGTACATACAGAAAGTCAGTGTGCAGCTGCAGTGAAAGACATGCTTTAATGAGTGTGTATGCACAGACATAAAGCAGAAGACTGATGTGTAAAAAAAAAAAGAAAAGAAAAAAAAACTTAGTAAAACAGTAATAACTGTTACAAGAACTACATTTTCTGCAATAAAAAATAACTTTAATGCTTTTGAAGTAGTAATTATTTACAAACATTACCCCTAAACTTCTTCCTGAAGCATCCATGTAACTGCTTTACAGATGAGGCAGCTCTATACTGAAAAAAGAAAAGATGGAAAGTGTGGGAGAAAACATACCAGACATAAATGCCCCAATTAGAGATGCAGATGCACCGAGTGTTGATTTGCTTCCGTCATCAGCTTGGTTGTCTCAGTTTTCATCCAAACAGGTGTCCAAGAAGTCTGTTTATCAGATAACCCCCACCACCCACTCCCACTCCTTAATGCTTGGTTTCTTCTCTAGTTGCACCTAAGCAGTGTCTCTGCTGATAAAGTCCACCCATGTTGGTGAGCTCACCAAGATCCCCCCTGAAGCGGTAAAACAATCCAAATCTGTGTGCATCGACCTTAGATCCAGGGCTCAAAACAGAAACTTGAAAAGAAGACAACTGGAAACCGAAGCTTAAACAAAGAGAACATTTCTGTGGCCTTCTTTCCCCCCCACACCCCCCAAATGTAGGATGTTCTGATCAGTCCATGTAGTCAAAGTCCTCAGGGATGCCAAAGGCTTTGTCGATGCGGCTGTCGTCGAAAGAAAACTTCTTTTTTGTCCAAGACTTGATGGCGAAAACGTTGTCTAACAGAAAAAAAATAAACCATTAATACCAAATAATTGTCTGCCTGTGCAGTGCTACTCGTTAAGTAACTCCTCTTGAGCCTGTAGACTGCTTCTATTTCTGTTTCGCAAACAACTCTTAGTTCATAGGATTTGCAGCACCCCAACTTTTGTCAATCATCAAGCTAAATATGATCTTTGCAATAGATTTATTGAAAATGTGGTCCTCTGACCAACTCAGACATTTTGTCTGTCTGGGTTGTTTGGCTTTTATTGTGTGTTCTCTCCGACTATCTCAGCTTTTCCTGCAGTCCTAACGCATGATTGTCTTCTTACTCAACTGCATTTGAATTTAGCTTTATTATAAAGCACAAATTCCCAAAAAATGTTCTCAACAAAGGTAAGCATGTGTTCAGTTTGGATCCAGCTACACAGAACCTGATCCAATCCAGTACATCTCATATTAGCTCTAATGGTGCCACTTCATGGTTATAGTCAGATGATAATAAAATGCCAGTTCCAAGAAATTAAGAGTTTACACCAAGTCACTAAACAAATTCACAAGATCAACAAGTATGAGATTTATTTCCGGGGGTTAGTGGATTTCTCTGTTTGCAGATCTGTATTATCAAGAACTTACCCGTCCATCTGGACACAGCTTCTTTTGCAACAACGTTTGACTTTCCTGCAAGACACATTTTGCAATCATTTGCATCATATTGTTTAAATTTCACCCTGAGAGAAACACAGATGCAGATATTTCATATCCAAGTGAGTTTATGAAAAAACAAGACTTAAAAAGATGCTGAACTAAATAATAATGCTTCACTGTATCATAAGGAACCCTGAGAAGGACAGACTTATCCTCTGTTACTTAAGTCTGGAGCTCATTTAATAGTTAAGTTTGGCAAACAGTGAGGGACTAAAGACATCTTATTTGAAAGACAGTTGACCAGTAACCATTAAAATCGTGTTCATTATGGAGTAAAGTTATAGATCTAAAGCAGTGATTTGGGAATTTCACATAAGTTCGTGCACGTTTAGCCTACAAGGAAAAGCCAAAGGGGACACCTGATAGAATAACATCAACAGATAATATATTTGGATATTTTAATCTTGTCCAATTAGCTTTGTTTTAGAAATAAACAAAGCTAATGTTTATTAAAAATTTAAGTAATGAAAGATTACAATATAAATCAAACAATGTAGTTTAAATAATAACATTTACAGTCATGGCTCCTACAAACCATTTCAAAACAAATACTTTCCTAGAATCAGATTCCTATATTTTTTCCAGCGTTTGTTAATGATCTATCCTTCAGGTTTAACAATGTAGTCTGAGAAGCCTTCATTTATTCTGCAGAAATGAAACAAAACAAGATTGCTAACACGTTGTTATGCACCTTAGACCCAGTTTAAGACAACCAGTTGAGTCTACCGTAAGCTCCCACTCTAAGAAAAGAGAATAAATTTCCTTAATTAGCTGTTGGTTTAGAGTGTAGAAAAAAAAAACCAACTAAATTTGACGTAGAAAATTAAAGATAAAGAATTTATTCTACACGTAAATAAGCATTAACATTTTCTAAACATTGATAAATCTACAGATCCAAACAATGCTTGTAGCCCATCTTCTCTTTTTCCCTACATATCCAGAGTAGGAGCATGGTAGAAATCAAATGTCATGCTTTCCATGACTGTAAATCGTGAGTAAACAGAGCTACAGCTAGGCTGCTGTGATTTCTCAGGCTTTTTAGAGATGTTCAACCTGGCTGTGAGCTTACTATTGTTTATTGGTAACTATGGGTGTTAGAGCCAATGTCAACAATGAAACTTGACAAACGTTTTTTTAATCCCAGTTCCAGAGGGCTTACATGAGCAGTACCTGTTAAGGCACCACTCCCTCCTGTTGACACAGACAAAAATCTTGCATGTCACCGCAACATAGTGTAGGTATATGCAGGTGTGGCAGCGTGGATCTTTTAAGTATTTTTAAGTTGTTTTTATTTGACTTTTTCTTTGCTTAGTTAAATACTGATGCATGTAGGTTAATCTTTTGAAGGAAGATATTCCTTAAAAATGAGTATCAGTCAAAGTGTTCTTTCTTTTTTTTTTTTTGCAGTTACGGGTCTGCACTCCTATTATGTCCCCTTTGCAGGCGACATAACATTTGATACCACAGCTGCTCACTGGTGTCTTCTGATTGGAGGTGGCCATCTGTAACAAAGCTTTTTGTGTGTGTGTGTGTGTGTGTGTGTGTTGTGTGTGAGTGTTGGGGGGTCTATTACATGGTTGAAAAAATTTCCATAAATCTTAGCACATTGTGGGGACTGTGTGCCCTACTGGGGACCAATGTCAAGTCATGTACAAATGCCATTTTAAGCTTAGGTGTTAGGTTTAGGACTAAGGTGTGAATTGAGTTTAGGTCAGGATTAGGGTTAGGTATGAACCAATAAAGGTTAGGGTTAGGATAAGGGTCATGGTTAGGCTGTAGAAATGGGTTAGAAATAAATGGATGTCAATAGAAGCATAGAAGAACGTGAGTGTGTGTGTGTTAGAAAAAGAGGAGGGCAATCAGGCCTGTAGGCATGGGGAGACGGATGAGTGAAAATGCACTCAGCAGATATAACCCTCAGCATCAAACTGTTTATGTTTGATATTTGAACATGGGGTGTGTATTTATCATGACATCAAGTTAAATGTGGACTTTCAGGATGAGCTGAAGTTGTACCATTAAAAGTGAAAGTAAAATACCTTATTTTCCCTCCAATTTCCTTTGAGGTCTGACCTGACGAATCCACCTTTGACCAATTCTGGGTTTATTTTCCAACGATTCTAACATAATTGCTACATATTAAAAAAAAGATAGGAGTATTTTAGTTGCTGCTGGACCATCAATGCTGAATTAATACAAATATATTTAGATCTCTTGCTGACTAACTGGTACATCTCTACAAATCTCTGAACACATAAGTGGGAATTCTAAGGCTAAAGAAAAGGCATGGGAAATAAGTGTCTGCTGGCTCACCAGTCTATGGCACTCAAGGACACATGCAAGCAATGATTTTAGCAGAGCAAATTCCCCTTCTTTATGGTTATTTCACATGCATTGAGAAAAGCATTAACCATCAGTGCAAACTCCTTATTTCATACTTCAAACTGAAGCACGGTAGAGGAGGACTGATAGTTTGGGCTCGGTTTACAGCTGGTGTATTTGGGAGCATTAAAAAAAACATGCAGAGATATTCTGTTTCATTACCAATGGTTTCCCCAAAGTGGTTCATGCACATAAACAATAGTTGCTATACAATAACAGATGCAACCTTTACTTGCTGAAATGCTTTAGACCTTAAAAGGATTGTGGGGATGTTTAGGTCACCAGTAAAACGAAAGGTTATAAAGATTTAAAACCGTTTTTAAATGTTAAACATCTCTTTTTAATGCAATTAGTCCACTAAAATGTAGGATGTTTTATAATTTACAAAGAGGTTTATAAATTACAAAGAATAAAATATTTCTATTCCAAATAGTAAAAAAATCAGTGAAATCTTGCGATTATAGGATTACACTTATTTCTTCTAGTCATTATTCTAAAAATCAAGAATTTCAATGCAGTTTTTTGAGTCTATTAAAAATCCCAAAGATCAGGGCCGTACATAAACTAGAAAGACACTGGAATCAGAGGATTGGACATAAAATAAAACCACCAACGGACACGGGCTTAGAAAACCCTGCTGCTCTGATTGTTTCGTTGTCCACATTTCCGTTTGTACGGATGCAGAGAAGCTGGGGTGGAAAAGAACAGGTGGACTGAGTGAAAACATAATGCAGAGCTGGTGCAACATTAGGAGGTTTAAGTAAACAGGCCAGATAGTTTTATTACACCACACGTGTCACACGGGTACATGAAGAAACTCGCTCCTTGTAACACAGCAGAGCTAAACAAACAAAAAGCAGCATGAAGTCCCAAACGCTCTGAGGAAGTTGGTAAGAACCATTTATATAAAGCGAGCCATTTATATAATTAGATAAAGCAGAATTACACCTTCAGAACCGATTTGGTTCAATTAGAGCCCCCATAAAACCCAGTGTACACCTTATTACCAAGTTAAGCCTCATTTCCAATAGAAAACTCTGCTCTGCTCTCACCTTATTGCTTTTCTTAGTATCTAACCTGCTTAGCTTTGAGGTTTGACTTTTAATAGAAAGAAAGGTGTGAGGGAATGCTATAGGATGAAGTGTTGATAAATAAAATTAGTTTGCATATTGGTAAAGCTAACAGTATCCGTATTGTGGCAGTTTTTCCTCAGCTGGGAATTATTGTTCAGATAATATAGTCATAACGAAAAAATTAGATTAACCAACATGACCGAAGACATCAGACTATTAAAATATTAGAAAAAAATCTAAGGTTATTTAAAACTAATAGCAAACTGTTCTATACTCACTAATTTCTTGGATGACCTCAGGGTCACATTCTCGGTATTTCTCAAGCTCGGCCTGCAGCTGCTTTTGCTCGTCTCTCAGAGACTGCAGCTCCTTCAGGAGACAGCTTCTTTCTTTCTACAAACAGACACACGCGTAAGCTGCCTGTGGGACAGATTCTGCTTCAGCAAACACCATTAATGTGTGGATTTCTGTCACATGAATGTGGTCTCTTACTGTATCTTCACGTCCCACTTTTGCCTTTTCAGCCGCTTCCTCGAGAGACACTTTTCGCTGCTTAGCATCAGAAACCTGGGAAAAAAAAACAAAAAAAAAAACATTTAAAACGTTCCAACATTTTCATGACTAGTTCTGTGCACATAATTACAATAGTGTCAAATTTCTGTATTTTGAAACATTTTAAAATAGTTTTTATTACGGTATGTGTTAACTACTCAGGACAGTTATGTATATCAACAAATGCTGAGAAGAAGCTCATCTTGTTATCTAGAAAAAAAAATGCCAAAGCTCTGAATCCAATAAAACAAATAAAGAAAAAAACTCAGCAAGGATTCAACTTGCTAATACAACATGAAGCAATTCAAATACTGTTACTGCATGGCAACGCTGCAGGAAACACTGTCACATCATAACCACTTCAGGTGCAGGAACTTTAGATTCTGAGAGAAACCAGACGTTTTCATGCACTGAATACCTGCACCCAAAACATGGCGTCAGACATTCTCTAAGTTGCAGACATTACAACATATGCAAAGGGATGTGGGTCATCACAGACCACGAGGGCTTCAAAGAAAAACACTTTTATGTCACAATAACAAACATGCAAATGGCAAAAAATTTTATTTAATTTATTCACTACAATAAGAGAGAAAAGCAGTTCAAACCCATTTTAAAATAAGTGATATATTGACTTGGATGTTCTAATATAAAAAAAACAATTCGTCTGAAACCTGACTTTGTTTTTGACATTTCAAACCACAACAATAAATCTATTTAGAATTTTGCTGCGGTCTACTTTTTGGGCTTTTCTCACCAGTTCCTTCTAGGCTATTTTTATGCAAACCAACCTCTTTACTGTAAACTACAGTTTGTAGCTTACAGTAAGACAAAGACATAAAAGGCCTGCTGCTGTGAAACTAAAATTTATCGTTTCATCAGTTGCAGTTTTATTTTTTCTTACAAAAAAAGAAATCAAACAGCCAAGTTGTTACCATTATCAAGGTAAATCATGGTTTTAGGTGCACACTGCCTGTTAGTAACAGGTACCCAGGAACCCCCCCCCAACAATTTCCAGTCTCGGGAAATGTGCCAGGCAGAAATAATAACAGATGGTTGCAAGTTTATTTCAGGGTAACGTCTCATATGCACCTATTAACCATTAAAGCAGAGTTGTTGCAGTCTGATGCGGATAATTATTCCACCATTAAACCACCAAAACTCTCCACGCTCACCTGTTTCTGCAGCTCCTCCAGTTTGTGCTTGCGAGCATGTAAGGCCTTACTTGGAAAAGCCCAGTAGTAGTTGGATGTGCCGACTCGCTCACAGTCCACCATGTTGTCATCTACCAGGCTTTGCAGCACTTCCTTCACAGTCATTGGAGCTAAAAGCATAGAGGTTGGAGGACAATAATCCTTAAATGAACCACTGGAGCAAAGCTTCTCTAAGGGGCTGAAAGCTGTATAGACTTAGAAAAGGCTAAGCTATTTCTGATTAGGGTTTAAATTTTTATCTGAAGGAAAAAAAAAAAAAATCACCATCTGGTCTTATTTCTGCAGATGTCTGCAGGATTAACTCATAAACTTTCTAAAAAACACACACCTGGAGATGAGCTGCCTGTTAATACTGGTTTTAAAAAGCCTGCTGCGTTAACAGATGTAAAAAAAAAAAAAGAAGTCACATCATAAAGATTTTAGTGGTGAACTGATACTCAGTTTGCTCAACTAGTCCACTTTCAACCTGAGAAAAGTTCATCTGATGAAAGGAGGTTAAACAAGACGGGCGATGAAAATGAAATGGGGAAAAAAAACAAAACATGACTACTAGTTGGACGTGCAAACTGGGGGAAAAAAAAAAAAAAAAAAAAACACAGTTTTTTACTATGTTGGCCAATATGTTAGATACATTGTTCTGTTCTTATAATATCTCTCCTTGCTTAGGAAAACGCTCACAGTGCAGTTCTCCAGGTGGCCCCTCCCCCCTGCACTCTAACTACATTACGCCTCAGTTCGGGTCAGAACCATGTGCTTTTAATCAGAGCAGCATTCAATTCCTCCTGATGAATGTTTTGTCCACTTATAACATCCCCTTCTGTGGTCACTCACACACACTGCATTTTCCTTAGGGGAGCAAAGTAAGCTTGAATTTATCTTTTATTAAACTTTGTATACAATGTCTAACAGCAGGGTGAGAACATTCGCTTGACTTTAGAGCTATATGCTTCTAACAATTCTCTCACTTCTGTAGAAATGCCAAATTCTACTTAGAGATAAAAAAAAAAAAAAGGTCAGATAGCAAAAGCAAATCCCAGTTGTCATGGCATCACCGCCATGGGTGTGAAGCAACACAGCTCTCTGACACTGTAACTAAAGGAACTTTGATGCATCAGACTTTTTTGCCCATACCGCATTTTCAGTATTAAAAGTGCAAATAAAATCCTTTCGGGTCTAATTCATTAAAATCTGTCACTTCTTCTGGTTTAGATGCCAACGGGTTCAGAAAAAAACCCCCAGAAAGTGTGTTCTCAACCAGAAGGGGTTTAGGTTTCTAGATTTTAGGGTTCTGGTTGTGCCCAATGATCTCCTAGTAGGGAATGAAAAAAAACTTCCAAAAACAAGGCATTATTAATGAGACAGCCTGATCAGATCCAGAGCACTACTTTCTACACCACAGAGCAGCTGCTTTACTCCGACAGAGCTTTGCTGGCAAACTGTGCCAACAAACTGTGGTTTAAACCAAACCCAGACTCTGAAATGGACCGAGGAAATGGACCCTCACACGGTTATAACTGATTGAACTCATTCAAAACCTTGTGCAGTTTGCTAGCATTGTTTATCCTGGTCGGGTTCCAGCCAACCGAAAGCAGCAAGAGAGGATATGACATAAGAGCAGCACGATTTATAAGAAAAGCTCAAACGAAGAAAAGCAGAAATAAAGAGGGGGGAGTGGTCATGGCATAGTGCCTTCATAATCTAAATGAGTTGTTCCATTGTGATTTTTGAGAATAGGATGGTGGGAAGGGTTTGATGATCTGCTTTTGATCCTGTCAAATAGATTCCTAACAAACCTTGGCAACTATATCCTGCTTTGGTCTAAAGATCTATGTGTGAAAGCAAACTGGACTCAATGAGGGTGTGAGTTTCTCACTTTGCCTATCCCTGAAGCGCAGTGTTAATTAGGGGTGGGTATTGCCAAAGACGTCACGATTCGATTCGAATCACGATTCAAAGGCCACGATGCGATTCTATCACGATGCATCACGATACTTGAATTATTGTGATGCATTGCAATATTTTCTCCTCCATGTTTTGTTTTTGAATGACTCGGCGCAGTATCCCTCGGCCGGAAATGCTTGTGACACAAGGCAGCGTGCGTCAACACATCCGCAGCGACATCTACTGGACTGGAAGTTGTATAACACTTGTTTTTGGCTGATGTTCGCCAACCATTGATGCAATTTTATTTATTAATTTTTTTAAATTAATAATCGATACTTGGCGTCAAGAATCGATGCAGTAGATCACGAAAATTAGAATCACGATGCATCATCACGGCGATTATTTTGCACACCCCTAGTGTTAATAAGCCCCGAGTTTCCCCTAGATGACAGAGCTCCTCACCCCATATCTGAAAACTTTACATACTCCATGAGAGGTGAGGGCTTCTTTTTTTCCACCTCTCATAGCCACAAGAACAAAATTATTTGATCTTTGTCCTGGAAGCACCGCACTGGAGGTTCTTTCTGCTCGTGCTCGACATCGTCTGGGCAGAACTTTCGTTTTCCTAGTAGCGCCTCCAAGAGCTGGATGGGAGTTGGTAAGTAGAAAAAGTGGGGATGATTTTATTTTATTTTTTAGCACTCTTTTAGTTTTTTAGGTCAAAAAGAAGGAAAAACGAAAGAGTAAATACATTGAAAACTTTTGTTTAATTTGTCAAGAACATATTTTGTTTCAACTGCTTTATGGTTTGCATGTTCCTTTATTGTGATGTTGTTTTGTTTAAGTTATTTTTCCCTTTGAAATAAATCAGGTATTCAATGAAAGGACACATCATTGTTTCCTGAACAGCTGATTGACTACTAGGTGAAGCGTTTTCTGGGATTCAGATCAATCCTGAAAGCTAGCCTGCTAGGCCGGAGCAGGTTTGCCAATCAGAGTATGTTACCATGTCAAGGTTAAACTTAAAGTTTCCTCACTAAACCAGTAATCATGCTACATGGTAGAGGCCTTGTCATGTCTAGATTGTTAAAGTTTATATGAAATGCCTCCCTGTGTAAAAAACAAAGAAATAATTTAAACAAATGAGGAAATCAGAAAAAGAGCGTCTTCCGCAAGCTGAATTGAGAAAGTTACTGATTGAGATTCAGGTGGAACAGGAGAAAAGAAATATTACTACGTGACTTGATGAAATATGTGGTCAGAGTTCCCAAATCATTCAAACAGAAAGTCTGCATTAGAAAACTTTAATCCACCACCCCATCATGACAGAAAAAGAGCATCCAGACCTGCGTAGGCCGTGTTTTTAAATAACATGGCCTAAATAACATGGCCTATCACTGGCTTCAAAAGGCTACTCAAGTTCTATTTTTTTCATATGGTCCCAAAACTTTACAGTTTAGCTGAATAAGATGTGAAAGAGAGTCCTGGAACAGAGTCGCCCTGGGATCTTATGATTTGATGTTAAGTTAAAACTGTTTTTGTTAAGTAGAAGTCAAGATTTTTTAAATTTATTTCAAAGCTAGGCTAAATAACTAGCAAATCAAGTTTTTTTTAGTTTTTTTTACATCTGGTGTTCTAAGAACAGATGAATGAAAAGGGACAGTAATCTGGACGATAACCATGTTTATTCTAACATTTGTAATAAATTCTGCAGCTGTTAATTCTCTGTTCTCCTTCAGTTTTCCACTGGTGTGTGACGCCATCTCCTAAATCAGCTGCACCTAAATTTATCCCACCATTTCCAACTGAAGAGGATACACAGATTAATCAGTATCTTATTCAATGAAAACATATTTTCTGGAGATCTTTGTGCTAGTACTGTAATGTACTGAAAGAGAGATATTTTTAAAGTCTCAAAGGGATAATTGTCAATACTTGGACATTTGGAGCTGTGGCATCAGGTCACCTCTTCAGGGCTCTGCAAAGGTGAACATCGCAGAGCACAAACCGCTTCCTTGTCCCAACCTGCTTAACTGGGGAGCAATAAACTGCCCTGCATGTCTCAGCAAGTGCAAGGCCTGTGCAAAGAATGTGAAATCCCTTCAACGAATTCACACAATTTGTAAGATATCTTATTACCATCAGTCTTTGTTCTCCTCTGTACCTGTATTAGTGCACCTTTAAATCTTGTGGATTGCTAATCATAAGGCAGCACTGACAGCTAATAATTTGCCTTGAAATGAATGGAAATTACTTTTATTCTTTGAGCTGTTGATCATTACTCACCAATGCCTTTTGACTTGGGGGCGATCTTCTCAATGTCTTTAAGCTGGAACACGTCTTTCTAGAAAGAGTCAAAAAACATGGTCAAAAACGGAAAACATTTCTCCCCCATCTACACGTGCCTCAGCTTGTATTTAGCTAGTATGAAAATATAATTGTTTTCTTTTCATATTTATACCCAGGTGGAGACATTTACATTTCTTATTACCATGCAATTCTATGCTTTCAGCAAACATAAATGAATAAATATATAACTTTAATATAGACAAACCAGAAAAAAAACCAGCAAATTTAACATGCAAATATTACATTTATTTACATATAATTGTTATATGTATAATTAAGGGATTATGTTTGAAAACTCTTTTCTTTTGGATTAGATTTTTGTCAAGACCACAGCATCATTCTTATTGGATTCACAAATTATATATAAAACCCTGTCCATATATAAGATCTAAGTTATTTAAAAAAATAAAGAAGAATCATATATAAGAGAAATGCCACAGTAAATGTATCATTTAAATAAAGTTTACCAGATAAAAATCTAAAATAAAATGCTAGTCAATTAGGCTGAACCTAAAAATCAGAGGTGCACCAGGAAGTGATGACAGCAGAAGACAACACATTAGTCACTTCCTGTCTTTCATTAGCATTTCATCAATCACAGGTGGGTAAGACGAACAAAAATAAACCTGTGCCGAACTAAAACCACTGACTCTCAGCAGAGGGAAATATTTGGATTATTTTCAAAAAGAGCTGAAAATTTAAATCTGAGAAATATTGATCAAATCAGTAGAATTTGAGCAAAAACTAAGATCATTTTAGATGGTCTTCATTGCTGAAAATCATGCGTTTTAACTTAAATATGAAAGTGAAAATAAACACCTTAAAAGAAGCAATAAGCTAAATTTCATTACATTTGATAAAAAGAACTAAAAATATTTTGTGAAGCACTAAAGGAATCTGTTTAGATGGACAATAGTAAGATGTATCACATCATCTCTGTTGTTCCCCATAGCCGGACCAGCTGTGTGAGCGTATGCATGAAAATAGCTGACAATTAGGGCTCGTCAGAGTAGCATAGGAGCAACAGTTTCACTGCTAAGCTGCTGCTTATTTACTGTCTGAAAGCAGTACAAATGAAACACTGTGTATGCAAAATGACAATAAAAGTTGTCTAAGTCTAAACAGACCAAAAAAGTAATCTGAAGACAATCAGGACTTATTGCTACAAAACAATAGCCTGGGTGCCATTCCGAACTTAGTCCCGCCCACAACGTTTGAGTTCGGGAAGTTCGGTCTGGCATTGCTTAATAGTAGCGCGAGTATGCTCGCACAATATCTGGCGGGCCAATCAAATTGTCAGGGCGGGCTTTATACGATGATGGACAGATGATCAACAGTAACGTAATCAACCACGTCACCAAAGCGTGCTTGGGTGACAACAACAATGGCTGCCGCTGGAGAGTTGAGGTGTGTAGATTCTGCTATTAGGTCTGTTCTAGAAGATATCGACAGCAAATTAATTTTAAAAGAGGAACAGAGAAACGCGATCAAGGCTCATCTTCTTATTATAGGCGTGCAACTGCACGCTTTGATTTTTGTCAACAACTATGCGTTGCTTAACATACGTCACGCACTCTGTTGCTCTAATTGGTTGTAGGTCTATCCAATTGAGTGCAGAGGCATTTTTTTTCCTGGTTCGTTCGAAACACGCCCCATAATCACAGCTCTATGGAGCAGTATCAGACTCATATTCTGACTAGAATTGAGTAGGACTATGTCAGGCTAACAAAACAACAGTGTTGAATAAAGAATATGTCGGATAAGGGACAAAACAAGGATTAATATTAGCTTTATGTTTCCAAGTTAGAGGGAGCTTCAAGAGCAGAAGTAGCTCCAGTTCAACTCAAAGCTAGCTTTTATCCTCCTGGACTGATGAATAACATGAGCTAAAATTGATGTTTTTCCTTGGTTTAGCAGTCTTGTTAGAATAGTTGCACTTTGTTGATTTGATCCAATTAAATGGCATGTGGGTTAATTGTTAAGTTTGACCAGCAACGGACCCGATGCCGGCTACTCGCCTTATGTCGTGAGGCGAGTAGCCGGCAGCCCAGCTAAAACAGGATTGTTTAAAGCAGCCTGGCGGGCCTGCGAGCTCCCAACATACATTTAGGTCATTCTTTTTTGACCAATAATCTAACATTGGAACCAATAACTGGGGCTTCAATTTTTAGACTTTGTACTCCAATCTAAATCATAACCCCGTATGTATCTCTGTGTAGTTACACTGTGTTTACACCAACAACAACTTTAGTGTTTTCCCTTTTATTGTAAATCAAAATGATAACACAAGGGAAACAATAGATCTTATTGTATGTCGAAATAAATACAAAAATATATTAATGCAATAAAGGGTGTAGGAGGTTGTTTTACAAGCAACATAATGTGTATTTAGTATGAATTTCACAGAGGGAATCGAACATATTGATATCATTATTTAGTAGGGCATAAACAATCAGATTAATCGTGACTAATTATTGAAATAAGCGTCAACTAACTCAGTAGTCAATTAATTATAATAGTACAGAGATTCTAAAACAAGTTTTTAGCTGACAGAGTGATCCTCTCAAAGCAGTAACTATATCAAAATTGTGACAAAAAAACAGATATTTTGCGTTTATGATTAAATGCTTCTCCTGTCAATATGCTCTATTCAGAACTGTAGTTAGAAATTTTTTTGTTTCAACTAGTTTAATTCTGTATAAAATCTTTAAGTTACCATTCGCTATCCGATTATTAATCGAAGATTCGGAAAAACAATGGACGGATTAATCAATAATCAAAATAATCGGTAGGTGCAGCCCTATTAATTAGTATAACAAAATGACCTCTTGTTTCTTGCCATCGAGTTTTATAGAAAGTTGTAATAAAATGTAGTGTTGTTTTGCTCTACAGACAGCTCAACAGCACATCTAGTGGTAAAATTCACTTATTGCTCCTTAATAAGCCCCAAATGAACTTCAAATTCTTTCCTTTGCAGTAGAAGTGTATTAGCCTTATTTGCTATAGCAGCGCTGATTTGCAAAGCAGTCCTTGAGAGTTTCAATATCTAAGTGCATCCTGGATACAAGAAAATATTGCAGGACAGCAGCTTTAGAGGACTTCCACAACTCTAAGGTCAGTGGGTTTTATAGACTAGGATTTTGAAGCCTGACTTCTGGTGTGTAATTATAAAAATCATTATGCCCTTGAATTTGGATTGGCAGAATATCATCATCATCTTTCTTTTTTGTAAATATAACCGGAACAGGTTTTCTATCAGAGTTCTGCCACCTTTGGAGACAGATGTCTGCAAAGCCGATAAAAAACAAAAAATATCAGATTTTAGGGTTTAATAAACTCTAGGTTAAATATTTAATAGCACTGATACTAAAACAACCACACTCCCTAGGACACGTAAGAACAAAACCCTTTTTAGACACACCTGCATTGATTAATTTGTTCTCTCTATAAACATGACATATTTTCAGGGTGTGGAGAGATTGAATCTCTACCTCATTGTGTGTCAGCTAGAGAGGAATTTCAGAGCAAGACAGCAGAACAATACAGCAATCTATGAAACAGAGCTTTTTTTTTTTTATCCGTAGTTAAAAAACTTACAGATTCAAAGAAAATCTCCATCATACGAGTCCTCTTCTCCTCCAAACTGAGTCCCTTCTTCTTGGACTGCAGACAGAGTCCCATGTCGCAGGTTGATCACAAAACAACAAAAACCATTAAGCACCAGATCTGCATTCAACAAATAGCTTTTTAAACGGTTTTCTCTGGATGATTACTTCAATAGAATAACATCAGACAGATAAATACACCCTCCCTTGGTTAAAAACAATAGACAGCATTACAGGCTGTTGCTTTATTATTTATAGCACTTGAAAACTTTAATCAAAGAAAAGCAAACAATTGTATGTAATCACTTAGCAGAAAATAAATGGACATACATAGTGGAGGCTTCAAAGAAAAATGGATTTAAAGAATAAATCGTAACCAGCATTGAGAACACCGAGGTCATGTCCTCGGTTTGCTTGTTTTTTAATTATTATTGTTGTTTTGTTTTTTGTTTTTTTAATTCAGAGACATGTCAAACTATATGATGTAAATTGTTCTGACTTTGATTGGTGTAAAGATCAGCATGCATTCTCAATTGTTTAAAAAAATAATAAAGTCCACAATGATATATTATTGTAAGTCATTTGATTCATTTAGTGGGCCATGCACATGCATGGTGATGATAGTGACAATAATAATAGTAGTAATAATAATTCAATATTAACAATAACAATAATAATATAGTATAATAATGATGATAATCATAATACGCACACACTCACTCTAATTTTGTGGGTTTTGGAATTGTTATAATAAACATGTTCAAATTCATCTCCTTGATGGGGATGTGATTTAACTCTATTCATGTTTCCAAAATATATTTTAAAATCTCACCATATTATAATGTTTTTTGTCAAGTAAGATTTATCGCAATATTTGACCTCAGTATTTCAAATATCCTGGTTACAGCCCTGATCCCTACTAAATACGGTAAGCTAAAATGAAAAAAGGTCAATTTAACACTGTAAAAGAAAGATTCCTAGCTTCCAGGATGTCATTAAAGAAAATATATAAATAAAACAAGGAAATGGGGACGATGTTACTTAAAAAGTTTGATAAAAAGACGCATCTGACAAAGGTTAATTAGTTTATGTTGTTTTGAAAACAGATGTGTTTCTCATTGCTAAGTTTTTTCAGTGTAGTCCTGTTTCTCTGACTGTGACTGGCTGGATGTGCTCTCTTCATCCTCTGACATGGGAGCTGGCTCGTCTGCCTGGCTGTGTGTTTCCTTTTACAGCTGCTTTTTGTATCTCTACTTCTGTCTCCTTGAACCCCATCTGGCCTCTGCAGATGGCTGCTCACACTGTACCTGGTTCTGCTGGAGGTTTCTTCCTGTTAAAAGGGAGTTTTTCCTCTCCACTATCGCTCCAAGCATGCTTAGTGTGAGGGATTGCATTCGAGTCAGTGAGTCGATGCAATCAACTGGTTTTCCTTAGAAAACTGAATAAATTTGACTGTATGATCTGGTGAACCGTAAAGTGCCTTGAAATGACGTGTTGTGAATTGCGCTATAAAAATAAACTGACCTGAATTGAATTGAATTAATAGTATTGTAGAACAACTTATCTTGAGATGTCAGATTTTCATGTGCCTCCGATAGCACCTTTCCTTCGTTAGTTCGGCATCAATTTGTTTTTCTTAAACGTTTGCCCCTCACAACATGGAGGACGGGTTGACGCATCATAGCGGAAGGGCTGATGACACGAATATAGCGTCAAGCCTTTTCTGTCTAAAACCTAAACGGTTACTTTAATTTTCAACGTAGCCACATAAAGAGCGATAAATCACCGCTGCTTAGGTTTGTGAAAGTAACATTTCCAGTGTTTTTGTTTGGTAGGAAGTTTAATGAACCAGCTCTGACATTATTCTACACTAACCAGGTTAAGTGGGGAACTTGACCGTAGAGCACGAATTTCTTCCTAAAAAAAAAATAATAACTTACCATTTTCAGACAGTGTTTGACAAGCACCACTCGGAGAGAAGCTTGTGGCGCTATTTAACCCCAAAAGGTCGTGTTTAGTATATCCAAATATTCCAAACAGATGTGTCGTTTCAGTGGTACTGAATTTCCCGCGGATCAATGCTAAGGGTGTTTGCTGCATTCAAGTCTCCTCGTAAATTCCCTAAATTCTTCGAATACACATATCAATACTAAATTGTCATGTATATTGAAAAAATGAATGTAGCAAAAATAGAAAGCAACAGACCATAGCCTTCTTGCAATTAAAACTAATAAGATATATATAAAAAATCCACTTAAGTTGTTTTTATTCCTGATCATCTTTAAAGGCATCAAATTTGTTATCCGACCTGCTGCTGCCATCTGCTGTTTCCAATTAGCAACAGTATAATACAGGTCCTCAAAATATTAGCATATTGTGATAAAGTTCATTATTTTCCATAATGTAATGATAAAACTTGAACATTCCTTTATTTTAGATTTATTGCACACTAACTGGAATATTTCAGGGGGTTTATTGTGTTAATAATAATGATTTTGGCATACAGCTCATGAAAACCTAAAATTCCTATCTCACAAAATTAGCATAGCATGAAAAAGGTCTCTAAACGAGCTATCCACCTAATTACCTGAATCAACAAATTAACTCTAAACACCTGCAAAGGATTCCTGAGGCCTTTAAAACTCCCAGCCTGGTTTATCACTCAAAACCCCAATCATGGGTAAGACTGCAGACCTGACCGCTGTCCAGAAGGCCATCGCTGACACCCTCAAGCAAGAGGGTATGACACAGAAAGATATTGCTGAACGAATAGGCTGTTTCCTAGAGTGCTGTATCAAGGCAACTCAGTGGGAAGTCTGTGGGAAGGAAAATGTGAGGCTGAAAACTGCTGCACAACGAGAAGAGTTGACCGGACCCTGAGGAAGATTGTGGAATAGGGCCGATTCCAGAGCTTGGGGGGAGCTGCGTAAGCAGTGGACTGACTGGAGTAGAAACATCAGAGCCACCGTGCACAGGCGTGTGCAGGAAATGGGCTACAGGTGCCGCATTCCCTAGGTCAGCCCACTTTTAAACCAGAAACAGCAGCAGAGGTGCCTGATCTGGGCTTACAGCGAAGCAGCACTGGACTGTTGCTCAGTTTTGCATGTCATTTGGAAATCAAGGTGCCAGAGTCTGGAGGAAGACTGGGGAGAAGGAAATGCCAGAAGTCCAGCGTCAAGTACCCACTGTCAGTGATGGTCTAGGGTGCCATGTCAGCTGCTGGTGTTGGTCCACCGTGTTTCATCAAGGGCAGGGTCAATGCAGCTATCAGGAGATTTTGGAGCACTTAAGGCTTCCATCTGCTGAAAAGCTTTATGGAGATGATTTCATTTTTCAGCACAACCTGACACCTGCTCACAGTGCCAAAAATGCTGGTAAATGGTTTACTAACCATGGTATCACTGTGCTCAATTGGCCTGCCAACTCTCCTGACCTGAACCCCATGTGGGACATTGTGAAGAGAAAGTTGAGAAACGCAAGACCCAACACTCTGGATGAGCTAAAGGCCGCTATCGAACCATCCTGGGCCTCCATAACAGCTCAGCAGCAACACAGGCGGATTGCCTCCATGCCACACCACAGTTAAACAGTCATTTCTGCAAAAGGATTCCCGACCAAGTATTGAGTGCATAACTGTACATAATTATTTGAAGGTTGACTTTTGTATCAAGAACAATTTTCTTTTATTGGTTGGATGAAATATGCTAAATTTATGAGATAGGAAGTTTGAGTTTTGGTGAGCTGTATGCCAAAATCATCCGTATTAAGACAATAAAAGACCTGAAATGTTCAAGTTTTATCATTACATTATGGAAAATTAGCTTTATCACAATATTATACACAGAAGGACCTGTATATAATCCATTTGCATTATGTTTTCTTAAAATGTGCTTCATTTTTGCACAAAAAAAAACATTTAAAAAAAAACGCATCACCACACTATGACTCTCCCTCTTGGAAGTACGTTTTGTCATCTTTGGCACTTTAATTCAATTTTGCAATACAAATATGTACAAGACAAAGAATTTTACAGGATTGTGTAAAAACTTGACCAAACTCGGGAAGACGAATACTGATAATTGTGTGCTTAAAGACTGTTTATGATGAAGGCTTTAAACAGGATTGTATTTTACAACATGTACACCAAATGCTTATGTACAAAATAACATCTTCCAAATCTACAAGGTCACCATCAATCAGACACATGTGGAAAAGACAAGATCTCATTGGAAGGAGTGAGGGCTATCGGTTTAGCAGTTCTGACACCAGTGGGGGGAAATCAAAGTAATTTTTGTGTAGGATAGAAGATGAATCTTGCATATCTGGGACATGGGCCTACAATGTAGACATGTACAGCAGATGTGTATGGAGATCCAAATGTGCCACAATAAAAAACATGAACATACGTGTTTAATAAACCATGAATTAAATAAGAAAAAAAAAACTGACTGAGGTGGCCGTGCAATGTAGGATAAGCATTCAGAGGCTGAGGGGAGGTATGAAGTCCAACAAGGTGCATCAGTGTACAATAAAATAATTGTAGGGTTTCAAAAGATGCCACACTTTAATAACTGTAGATTTTTTTTCATCATACAAAAAAAATGGTAAACTTCATTAAATAAGAATTATCTGTAGTCGTTTCAACAATTTTGTTAATCCACAATCCTGTTGCAGCATATCATGCAGTTTAATTTGTGGTATGCGCAACATTGACAGTAATAATTCACAAAGGGCTTTATTCTAACATTTTACTTGATTTATAAATGTATAAATCTTTGAAATTTAGTTAATATAGATATTGTTTAACATTTTATTGGATTAATTATACTTGGATTGTGGGACTTTTGGCCATTAGTACTCAACAGGAATCATAACAAAAACTGAGACAACTAATGTTTTAAAATATTTTATTCAAATATTAATGTATAACCTTGTCACTTGTTGCCCTATATTAAAGTTCACATTATATGGCCAAAGTTTCTCAGATCTGTGTCTACCTAAAACATAGACCATTACCCATTCAGTGTACTGAAACTGTGCAGCCATTTAAAATGTTATAGTGGTGATATTAAATCCTGTATTTTCAAAATAAACTGCATTTTAGTATTAAAGATGTTTTTTAAAAACAACATGCACAGCAATGCGTAATCATGCTCCAAACCATCCTACAGCATACTCTGAACAGGCAAATTGTGAGTTGGCTTAAGGGCTTTTTAAACAGAAAACTGCACTAATAGTTTTTAAATATGTTATTTTGTCAGGTACCTAAACTATAGTTAAGTCACTTAAGTGCGTGATTTTAACCAGTGCAGCGATTTTTTTTTTGTGATATCACAGGTTTATCACTACTAAAGCTTCACCTTTCATGTCAACACTCCAAATGGAACATAAACACGATTGTGATCGACTCTTCGTAGCACCAACCACCAGCAGAACTGTATGAGCAGTTGTTTCTTCAAACTCAGGAGAAAATTCTAACGGATGGCACAGTGGAATGAATGAGTTTGAGTTCCAGTTCTCCTGGTCTTCCCAGGCCAAGAGGTGTAGGCATGTCCCTAAAAGCAAAAAGGTCAGCTACTGCAGATAGCGGTAGACTTTGAAACAATGGTTGCCAGAATCTGCTACCACAACGTGTCCATCAGAGGTGAGGGCCAATCCCTGCGGGCCGTAGAGCGGGTCAGCCAACGTGTTGATGTAGGAGAGGAAAGAGCCGCTGCCATCAAACACCTGCCAAAGATAAGCAGCATCAGCACTAATTCAAAAGTTAGATGATGTATAAAAATATATATTGTTGTGGACTTTATTTTTTTTTTAAAAAGGTTATAAACAGGTATACCAGTTTTATTTTAAATTAAAGGTGTCATAGAATGATTATATAGGGTATTTGGTGCAGGTCCTTAAGGTCTCTTAATAGGGTGTGTAACAGTGATTGTGCTGAAAATGGCATATTTGCTGTTCTATGAGCCCCAATGCAAGCCTGGTTAAAAGCCCTGGAATGAAACGACAGGTTTTCTTTCTTTTATTTTATGCTCATGAATATTTAGACGAACTGTGCGCTGATAGGTTGGTTTACAACGAGCGAAGCAATAAGCGCCCACTCACCGAAACATCAAATTGTTGATATGGTAGGATGACCAAACGTCCTCTTATTCCAGGATATGTCCTACTTTTCATACCCAATAAAATGTCCGGGGGGAATTTCAAAATCATTCAGGGATTTTGGTCGATTACAGTGCAGCATGTAGGCGAAACACACCAGGCATTCAAACCGAACCGTCAGCTCCAGGGCTGGTTCGGGAACCCCGGTGGACGGGGGCAGGGAGCCAGTGAGGGACGGAGCGACCGAACCCGACCTGGTGACGGTTGCCTGAACAGCAGCCCTATGCTTTCCTCCGCCTGCCTTACCGCCCCCCTCCTCCGGCTACCAATCCAACTTGGTGCTTCGTTTGGATTCGCCCATTTCATGGTGGAAGTTTAGAATTGTGAGATTTGCAGAGAAAGGAGGAGTCGATGGGGTTTGAACTTCTCTGTACGTCCATTTCACCCGATGAACCATCGTATTCATCTATGACAATGTAAACTCAGTTTTGAATTCTATCACCCCTTTAAAGCTAGTGACCAATGGGAGAAAATTAGTTTAAAAAAACATTAAATAAATTGAAAAATTTTAAGAGTTTTTTATTTTATTTTAAGGAAATTCTACTCATTACACAGATTTACAATTCATCTATAACCTTTGTAAAAAAAATAAATAAATATGTAGAGCCTTTAAAGCTATTCCTTTTTTATTGCAGCAAAATCAAACTAATTTGCTTCTCCACACACTGAGAAGGTATTCAGTGTGGGGTGTAAAATGACCAGGACCAACAGTAGCCTTTTTGTGTTAGAAGGAAGGACACTCTCTGCATACCAACTGTATCTGAAATGTATGTTTTTTTTCCTGGTCTATAAAGCTCCATAGTCTTTATTTAATTTTTTAAATCTAAATTGAACTTTAACTGGTTTGTTAAAGGCCATAACGAAAAGTCATATTTTAAACAACTGTGCCCCCATCAAAAAATAAATAAAATAAAAACTCTCCATCTTTTTGGTGTGGAGTAAAACTAAGCTGGATTATGTGTAAAAGTACCTATGACAACTTTGGAGCAGAGTTGAGGATGTCTAAAGGTGTGCTTTGAAAAAGAATAGAAATAAATGTATTGAAGCATTTCTTTTCAAGAATGCTTTGGAACCTTGTTAAATGGCACAGCATTGCCTCCAATGACTCTTTATGAATCAGGATAGTTTTCAAATAGTAATCACGTGAACTCAGAGAGAAAGCAGAGGATGATACTAAACCTGTGCAAAGATCTTTGTGAAGAAAGCTGTCAATAAGAAGTTGAAATGAATTTTAAAAAACAAGTTTAATGGTTTGCTGACCTGTATCCTGCTGTTACCCCAGTCTGCTACGATGATGTTTCCATTGACATCCACTGCCACTCCAGTGGGAGCATTGAACTGCCCATTACCTTCGCCGTTGGAGCCAAACTTCAACAGGAACTCTCCTTCTGTGTTGAACACCTACAATATGTAGGACACAGAACAGACATGATGTCCTTGAGGTCCCATGTGTAATCAGCCCATCTCATTAATCCTGTGGCTTGTCCAGGTCTATTACTGAAGAGATTATGTTTTTTTTCCAACTTATCCACTGAGACTGTTTTGTTAAATTTATATTGAAATTTTCACTACTTTGGGTTGAAAAAATAAAAATTTTATGTCATATATTCATGGTATCTTTGTAAATAAAACCCAGTTCCCAAAAGTCCATATAAAAGCTCTACAGTCACATCACCTGTGCAGAGATCTAGAAAATAAATAAACCAGCTGATATATTTTGTTTTCTGTGCTCTGCAGTGTTTCCTCCTTTTCAAATCAGCAGCATCATAGTTAAAGGGGAGTGTTGCCATCTTCACTAACGGGAGGCTGACTGAAGTTTAAAGGTTATTTGAAGTCAAACAACCTTATATGCCCATTCAGGTGTAAAAATACTTATAAAAGGAGTGCAATGTGCAGGTCTTCTTCTCATCTGGTTTACTTTCAGACGTGTTATTTAATGATTAGGTAATAATGGGAATTGGTTTTACATTGCTTGATTCACTTCAATATGTTGACATAGTGGAAGAAATGGGCAAATTGGTCGATGTTTTCTAAAGAAATACAGCCGTCAAGTGGGACATTTGTGTTTTTGAGTTTATTGCCATCTTAAAAAGGAAGAAAAGGTTAAGTTTTCAAACAATATAAATCTGCAGGAAAATCATATTTTGTAGACGTTTTTTAATCAGATAGTTACTCCAACAAGGTGTGCTTAAAAAGAAAGCATTTTTGAACAATTCATTTAACATCTTGAGGTAATTATTTACAATATATTTATAGAAGACCACTTAATTAGTCCAAGGTTTAACATATTCAGAAAGAATAGAATGTCTACGATAACTTTAAAAGCTTTACTTCCTAAAACAACTTTCTAAAAAATGTTTTTTTTTTTTTTTTTTTTTTTTTTTACTTAAAATTAAGACTGGGATATAAACCATCTTTTGTGAAAATGCACTCACCTTGACTGAATGGTTGTGAAAATCCGTCACAATGATTTCGTTGTTATTGTTGACGGCAGCAAAATGAGGGCCTGGAATAAAGACAACAAAACAACAATGCATTTCAGACATTTGTCAGTTTTAGCTGATTTGTAGAACAGAAGAAATTCTGTTCTTAAATATCAGGAGGAAAAATAATAAGACTTAGACTTAAACAGATTTATTTTGTATAAAATGGAAAAAAAAAATACTCAAAACAAAACCATCTCAAATGTAATCCTGAGGAAATAATGTCAGCCATAAAGGTTATTTGTACTGACTAATGTTGGTCTGTGTGATCTTTTTGAAGCTGCACCTCATGTAAAGATGGAAATGAACTAGAAGCCGCAAGAAAACATTCTGAATGGTTTTGCTCAGACACAGGTTTTGTCATGTAGCTTAAGGTTTTATCTCCAAGAATACCTGCAAACTGCCTGTCACCGTTGCCACGGTTACCAAACTTTGTGACCATCTTGCCGTTGGCCTGAAAGATGAAGACGCAGCAGGCCTTATTGTCGACCACGATGACGTGGCCGTTCCTGTCCACCGCTACGCCTTTAGGTCCCATCAGTTTCCCTGAGCCTATTTTGTTCTGCAGAAGTGAGAAAGTTTTGGTTTCTGTTATGCAAATACTGAATCAGCTTTACATCTGTCCCAAGCAGACAATAGTGATCTCTGAATACTACACACATATTTTTGTTTTCCAATAAACATTTAAGATTTAAAGACCATAAGATACCTTAAAGAGATATTGTTTAAAAATGTTCTAAAGATAAACATACTTCAGTAATTCTTAACATCTGCTGGTTAAAATACTTTGTCAAATAGCTATAACCTAAACAAAGAAAACATAAAACTTACCTTAAACTTCCCATCACTTGAGAAGATGCTGACCCATTTGTTGTCATAGTCTGCAATGATGATGTCACCAGTGGGGTGTACAGCCACACCCGTTGGCCGCTGCATCTGACCTGGAGACCTGCCCCGGATGCCAAAACGACTTCTGAACTGGCCATCATTGGAAAATACCTGTAGTGTGAGAAATATACCACCAAAAAAATCTGCTAATGAAAGTAGTCAAATGTATAATAGATGATCAGTAGATAACAACTCATAATAATAATAACTTTATTGATTTCACATTGGAGAAATGTACCTCTGCAACCCATCCCCTCAGGAAGCAGTGGGCTGCCACAATTGGGCGCCCCAGGGAGCAGTGTGGGGTTAAGGGTCTTGCTCAGGGACCCAGAGTGGCAGTCTGTGGGAGTGGGGCTTGAACTCAGAACCTCAGGATTCCAAGCTCTATGCCCTAACCACTAGGCCACCACTCCCCACAATGCTTAAAATAAATCCAGTGACTCCTCTAGTGAAACTTTTATACATGCTTAATAAGATTTTTGCTAACCTGAACACATTGGTTGTTGCTGTCTGCTATCAGCACTTTTCCCTGAGAAGAGGCTGCTACTCCCTGCAGATTGGTAAACTCCCCTTTGTTTCTTCCTTTGGTGCCTAAAGAAAAGAAGAATAAATGAAGGTCTTTTTTTTTTTTTTTTTTTTTTTTTTTTAAGCCCTGAGCTTCACATACACTGATTACTGACATTGGCTTGAAAAGCTTCTGAAAGGAAGATTCAGAAAAAGCAGCTTAAGTGGAGGCTAACTTGTGGAAGTGTTCTGGGGCAAAATCTGGAAATATTTAAGTTGTATGAAAAAAATATAAAAAATAAAAAATGATGGACCTCAACACAACTGTTTCACCCCAAATGGGTTTTTTTCTGTTTGCGGATATAAACACCAATGGCCTCTTCATAAAGTGGAAAAGTCATGACAATAGCTGGCACTTTAGCTTGACAGCAGGAAAGTCCCTGGTTTGGGTCCTTGGCCCCTCTATGTGGACATCTCCCCGAGTCTGCATAGGTCTCCTCCTCGCACTTCCCATTCCAATAAAGACATGCTGGTCAGGTCAGCCATCAGTGGTGGCGCAGTCTCAGGATAATCCTCCATCTGATCTATGAAATTTCGATGTATATACCCTGTATGTATAACAAATCTAAAATGTAGGCCACCAAAGTGGGTACCAGCACTGACTGTTAACTACCATCAAACATATTGTTCTGTAATTAACAGTGTGACAAAAATCCAGATTGTTATTTTGTTCCTTTTGCAAATGTCTCAGTTAAGATAAATGGCCAACAAAATGTGTTTATGGGTGTCTAATAAACATTGCCTACCACCAGGAGGTCATTCTGAGTTTATTTGGATTCAATCAATTGAGTACTGATCATTTAGCATCTAATAAGACAAACATAGATAATGGTTTAGTGTTTGGGTTCCAAATGGTACGCATGGATACAAAAAAGGAATATGGAATAAGTGAAAGGGCAAAATTACTTGGAATAAACTGGGTCAAACATATTATCCAGGAAAAGACAACTAGTTTACAATTTTAGTTGAATAAATAAAAAAACAGAAAAGAATAAAAAAAACAGAAAGGTAATATATCTCCAACATGAGGTTTTCAGAAGAAGAATTGGCTGTAAATTCGGCAGTGGGAGGATGATCAACTGAGGAATAATACATCTCTTAGTTTCTTCAATTATCTATATTTCTGATCCTTGAAGACCTGACTACTAAAACTCAAAATATCTTTCTAGGTCTGACATTTTTGTCATCCATTTAAGCTTATTTCTAGTCTGGAACCTTAAAGCAACTTACCCGGTATAAAATAAGAGGAATGACTCAAGATTTTTCATTGCACAGTAACATTTTCTGTGTGTAAAGATTATAGTAGTTTTATTTATGCATTTTTACACAGACCAAATCCTTCTGTCATCTTGTAGGAAATGACAGTGTGAAAGTTTATTTAAAAAAATATATACTCACCTATTCGGAAGATAAGATCATCCTCGATGGGATTCTCTTTCCTCCTCCCGGTGCTGTACATACTGGCCGGCCTTTTGAAGGCTTTCTGCTTGATGTGTCCGCTGCCTGGAGACTTCAGCCTCTTCTTTGTGCCATCTGAATTCGGGGATGTTTGTATGTGGGCCTTTATTTTAAACGGACTTCCTTTGATGTGTTGGTTGTACAAGCGCAAAGATAGGTTAAAAGGGCCTTCTTTGGGAGCAGTGAAAAGGTAGTCATAGGTGCCGTTCTTGTTGTCCAGGATCTCTCCATCAACTTTGCACCCGTCAGAGAAGGAGATTTCAGCGGTGATGACTGCATTACCCATCTTGCACAGCTGCCCATCTTTGTCCTTGGTGGTTATGGTGATGGCTGTGGGCACACCTACCACACAGTGTCGTAACCCTTCACCTGTGGCCACAGTCTCGGATGCAACAGCGTTTGTGGTTACCACGGTGCCCAAGTTGTGGATAGATTTCTTTAACCCGTCCGTCTCAACGAGGAAGTCCAGCTGGGCATTCTCACCTGGCTGCAGAGGGAGCTCCTGATTGGCCAGCTCGATGAGACGCTCACCCATCTGCTTCTTCACCAGCAGCACCTCGGCCTCGCTGCCGTGGGTCAGCGCCTGCTCCGTGAAGTTACAACTGCTGTTGATGCCCTCCTGTCCCTGCAGTAGGGTGTCCAATTGGGCCTGGAGAACCTACACATGGAGACACCAGGGGGCAGCAAGGCAGCACTGGATTAATTGAGAGGATACATTTGAAGCCAATGAAGAGGGAAACAGCTGACATGGATTATGCTTTTTTCTGTCAAACTATGCATGAAAATAAAGTCATGATATTTGTACATAATAACAGTGGATTTTCCATCTTCTTGGTAAAATAGCATGAGGCAAACTGCAAAAAAAAAAGCTTTGGCTTTATTAATACACTTTTCCATTATACAAGTGTATAAATAACGTGTGAAGACAAAAAATTATCTACCCACAAAAAAAAATAACAGCCGTTTTGTGGGCAGATCCTTCCACCTGCAGAGGGGATCTTTAGAGGCCCTGTTACTCCATCTGCTCTTCCTGTATAGTCAGTCAGTAAGATTTGGAGAAGTTAAGTTAATGTTTTATAACCTCTCTGCTTTGAACTTATTCATTTTCTCCCTGATCAAATTTCTTCTTTGAACTTTAGATGATCTCCAAGAGACATCTGATGCCTTCACAACCGGCTGTATTTTACAAAAGTAATTTGCTTGACTTGATTTTATTTCAGGGTATTAAAATAAAAGAGAGCCAACTACAAACATATGCCCCTCATCACAATGTAGCTTACATCATTAAATAAACAAAAATAGAAACACGAAAAAGCAGCAAAGTTTGTGGCTGTGGGGTGACCATAGGTAAAACTTTAACTGAATGAATGAATCATTTTACAAGGTTCTGTATCAGTTTCAAATATTTTTAGTAGTTTTAGGTGGATAACCCATAAAACCCTTGAAGCAAACTGGAAGATGTTACAGGATCTGAAGCTCATTATAATAATTATTCTAAACAGGCCAGTTTTTCCTGCTCTTCGTCTCAATTATTATTTTTGTTTCAGTTTTCCTGTCACACTCCGTTGTTTACAAGAGCAGTTTATTAAAAAAAAAGTAGAGAGGTGTTTTGTCAGCTGCTCCTGGATTTTGCATAGAAATGTTTCTGGATCATGCAACAGTCTTGCATTTGATGTTGCAGCACAGAAAATGTCCAATACAACCTTACAACATATCTATTATGACAAATAGATATGTTGTAAGGTTAAACTTATTAAGAAAACAGGGATATTTAGTAGTGGAGAACGGGCTCAACTCACCAAGATCTGGTCAGCAAAGTCATCTTTTCCTGAGCAAGATGCCATTAATGTTTTAATCTGAAGTGTTTCCTCCAAAGTTCCTCATTTGTCTCCAACTGAAGCTCAGAAACCTCAACAGTTCTCATATGCAGCGAGAGGAGAAACGGAGGATAAAGTTTCTCCAGTGTCAGGAGCAGAGCTGTACTGTACAGTTTGCTTTCACTGCACATGACACACCCTGATCAACCCAGAAAAAAAAAAAAAAAAACATTCACGGCTCACTGGCTCCATCTAGCCACAGCTCTACAGCAAGTCACATGTTTGGTTCTTCCCAGGGGTCAAGTGTGTTGATTTCAGACCAGTCAGTGAATTGGAAATCCTTAGCCACACATGTGGCCTGACCAACAGACCAGCAAAAGTTGCCTGATGAGAAGCCTTATAGGAGGAAAGGCTATTATTCTACCCTTTTATAACAAAGATAATAAACGAGCCCAGTCTCTAAAAAGTCAATTTAGCAAGTAACAGCAGTGTGGTGCAGCACAGCCACAATCAGCACTAATTATATCCCATAAAATTAAACCAGTAAAAATCAGACTAAACATAACAAAATTAAAAATGCTGAAAGTGATTCCTTTAAACACAAGAGATAAACCTGTTACACCATAAAAACAAATTTTTTTTCTGTTAGTTTTATTTGAGGTATGCATTAACTCAAGATAATGAAAGTATGTTTGTTCTGTTCCTATTAATGGGTTTTAGTTACATAACTATAAAAATGTTCAAAAATGTTAAAAAGTTAAAAGTATTTTTCTACCCATTAGTTTTTTGTTCCATGTCTAAAAATGTAATACAATTTATATCTGCTCCTATATCTCTCATTACGATAAACATTTGGCTGGGTAGATTAGCCTAAAAAGATTAATGTTCAGTTTTTTTTGTTTGTTTTATATAAACACGGGGCCGCCGGTGTCCAGGCAACCGTCACCGGGTCGGGTTTGGTCGCTCCATCCCCCGCTGGCTCGTTGCCCCCGTCCGTCCCAGATTTCCCAGAACAGCCCTGGAGCCCACGGCTCGGTTCTGCTGCATTGTATATAACCAAAATCCCGGATGATTTTGAAATTCTCCCCGGAAATTTTTTGGGGTATGAAAAGTAGGAGATTTCTGGGAAAAAGAGGAAGTCTGGTCACCCTACTTATCAACAATTTAATTGTTTTAGTGAGTGAGTGCTTGTTGCCATGATGAGTCTTTGCTCAGCAGCTTTGCTCGTAGTAAACCAACCAATTAGCGCACAGCTCATCTAAATATTCATGAGAGTACCATGAAAGGAATAAAACCTGATGTTTCATTCTAGGGCTTTAACCAGGTTTGAATTAGGGCTCATAGCAAATATGCCATTTTCAGCCCAACCAATGTTACACACCCTATTCAGAGACCTTAAGGACCAGAACCAAATACCCTATATAATCATTCTGTGACCCCTTTAATACATGTAAATGTGTTTTTTGCCCCATCAACTTCAGAAAGTAAATCAAGTTCTCATGAAAAGTCAGGAAACGGGAGAACTATAAATGCTCCAACAACCTTTCCTCACCTTCTGTTTTAGCCCATAGTTGACCTCCAGCTCCATTAGTAAAACACTCTTGCGGACATTGAGGGTCTTTTGCAGCTCATCAAAGGTTGTATGGATGTCATCTTCTATGGAGCTTTTGCGACTGGTCAGCTGCTGCAGGATCTCAGACAGGGTCAGCAGGGCGGAGTCTATCTCCGGAAGCCTAAATGGAGCACGGGTCATTATACAATGAAATGCAGAGAGAGAAAGGCGGAGCTGCTCATAGTCCTGTCCTGTTGTACCTCTTCTTAACAGCATTCAGCTGGTCCAGTAATGAGGCCTTGTGCTGCTCCACTACATCTTTTAGAGGCACGGTTGGGTGCTCTCCATGTTCCCCACTTGTGCATTCTTGACACATGGCTGTCTCACAGGGTGGGCAGTAAAACTCCATTACCTAAAAAAATAAAGATTTAGATCTATTGACACAGACACATTTTGAACGGTTATAACTTTATTTTTGATTGAGTCAATGCTTCATATTCCGAATGAAAGAGCCAAAGTATTATTTTGTTGGAAACATTTTGCTGTAAGCTTGCTCCCTAGGTTTATATTTTCAGACCAGTATCTATTTAAAAAAAAAAAAACTTTCTGGTTTCCCTCTGAATAACAATGTAAAAAACTGATTCCAAATGTGAAATTGGCTAAAAACCTAAATTATTAAAGAGACTGGTTTTAGTGGAAGCATCTCTTACACTTCCCCCATGGTTGGGGCAGGAGAGCAGCTGTTTTGTAGCCACAGCGGTTACATTGTCGAGGGTGGTGGCCTCCTGGCTACAGGTATCTGGCCTTCGCTGCAACACATCCATCAGATTGGTGATGAAGAAGTTATTCTGCAGTGCCGCCACCCCCTTTTCTGGGAGAATAGATGTCTGTCGGCACACAGGACACGACAGGGTGAGGCTGTGGGCAGGGATGTAGTTCTGCAGGCACCTGTAGTTGATAGAATGGAACAAAACACAAAGATACCCAAAGAACTCATTAACCCAGTTGAAAGTGATTTACTCACTTTTACTGTTGCAATAAATCATTGCTTTGTTCAGTTTTTCTCTGTGAGACACTATGCAACATATTCCTTACTCTGACTCTCGGCCCGTTTTCGGATTGATTTAAAAATGTAATGCTTGTTTTTAGAGCCCTTCATGTTCTTGTTCCGTTATATTTAACTGAGATGTTGACCGTATATCACCCTACTAGAGCTGTCCGATCTGCCAATCAGATTGCTGAACTATTGAAAAAAGTCTAAATCATGTCACAGACTCTGCATCACACTGATAACACCAAACCAAAAATCCTGCATATTTGCACCATATATTGATGATCTAAACTTCCATATCAATGCCTGAAGCGTGAAGCGTTTTGCACCACGTTTTTTTCTCCCACACTGTTTACATTTGATCTCTGCTGTACATTTGATCTCTGCTGTACTTTATGGAAGGGAAATGTTCTTTTACAGTCTGGAAAGCTGTACAAAATAAAATGTGATTTTTAATACACAGAGTGTATACAAAATGTTAAATTAAAGCAAATATTAATATGATCATCCAGAAAGTACTAAGTGATAAAAACTAAAACTAAACAAGTTAAGAGGACAAATGTTTTGTTGGAATGATGACTAAACCAGCAACACACATTTTCTCTCAAGATGCCACATGCCAAATACATTTGAAATCACTTTTATGCTGATATCACCTTCCTGAAATATAAATGCAGATGGAAGAAAATCAGAAGCGTGCGTCATCCTATATGCTGTGTCACATCATCTCCACTCACCTCTCACAGAAGGTGTGCAGACAAGGCAGTACTTTGGGGTTTTCGTAGCGGTCCAGACATATGCTGCAGATCAGGAACTGCTTGTCAATTTGGCGGACAACAGGACTGGGAATAGTGGAGCTTTCCGTGGCCATCCTAGAACGCGGACACAAGAGTCCTTTTTCCTCTTATGTTGCACCCTTCACAAACCAAACCAGCAGACAAAAAACAGTGAGACTCCAGAGGGTTTTACAATACAATGTAAGATCATCATTGGAATGACCAAAAATGCCAGAGTAAGGAAGATCAAAGTGTTAGATGGACAGTGGATTTGACCCGCAACCAAGGCCTAGGAATGTACACAATTCTTTGGATCTTAAAGAAAAACAATACAAACTGGTTTTCTATAGATAGAGAAACCACTTGGTCTAATTTTCTTAAACACAAACTTTTTCTAAAGTGTTTCATCTTTAGTTTTGCGGACATTTGTAGCACAAGGAGACATTTGAAAGAAAAAAACAAAGCAAACAAATAAAGCTGCAATGAGATTTATAAATAGATTTAAAAAAAAATCCCACTAAAGCGAGAACTAAAGCAATCTTAAAAATAGACTGTCTTGATAGTGAAGAAACTAAAGTTGTCATTAATCAACCCTATCGATTGAATGTATACTGCTATAAGCTTAGACTGCCGGAGGATATAGGGACCACTTTTCATCATTCTGCTTCATTCTTCATCCATCATCTGACTTCATGTTCTCTCTGCTTTTACCATGATCTTCATTGGCTGTGACACCATCCTGGAAATATCAGCTGTGCAGCTGATAATCTAATTCAATTGTCTCTGTAAAGGGCCTTGAAATTATGTCTTGTGGATTAAAGCTATATGAATAAAAAACTGAAAATACAACAGAAAAGTCTGACTAAATCATTATGCTTCTTTCATTTCTAATCTATCTACAATGTCCACCATGCACCATGAAAAAAAGTAAAAGAAAAGACCATTTCTTGAGATCATGTTCTGTGTCCTCTGTTGGAAAACATGCAGGAAGTGCTTTATGTTTGTCAGGATAAGCTTTTTAGGGGATAAATATTTAATCAGGAAGTAATGCAGAGCCTGAGAGAACATCATTCATAATATGCTGTCCATTTCTGTATCGTTACTGTCCAGCTTTCTGTGAAAATCTTCCCTTGCATCATTCCGTATAATTTCTGTAACAAAATCTGGCAGCTTACAGACACAGAAAGTGTGTCAACGCGGTCATTGTCTCCTTACATTAAACACTGGCACAAAAACAGGCCACCCCTGCTTCTGAAAAGGAAACCCTCAGGGGCAGTCTTTTTCCCTGAGTGCATGTCCTTACCCCTCCGCCCCTTCCCAGCAGTCTTAATCTCATTTTATATACATTTTAAAGCAAACACACACACACAAAAAAAAGTATGATTTTAAAGTAGTAGAACTTATCATTGCAGATGTATAACAGGGGGAAGAAAAACAAACAAAGTTAATAAAATTATCAAATTTATAAAAGCAAATGTCTAATAGAGTATTATCCTTTACCGGAAAGATGATCTGAATGAAGCTGCACAGACAACCCACAGATCAGATTAGATCCCTAACTCACCAGGCCAGACAGAGCAGATCCAGCAGATGACGAAGTCATCAAATGCACCTTGCTCTGATTAGTAAAACTCCTAAATCCTGCCGACAGTCACAACAGAGGCTGTGATGTGTTGACCGTGCACAAGATCGCCACAGCCACACAACACTCTGTTCTTATATAATCAGAGCCGCTGCCGCTCAGTGGAATAATTTCTGCTAGATGTGGCCTCCATCTAGCACACACAGAATCACACATCAAACAGAAGGTGAGATGGGTATCCTTGTTTTAACACAGTTTGGGGACAATGGGAAAGCTTATATAAACAGCTGAACAGATCAACGGGAGTTATTCTCTGCACTCTCTACAGTTACAAACACCAACTCCAGAATAATAAAGTAATAAAGAGTTAAATCCCTGGAAACATACCTTTAAGTCATATCCTAAGCTCACATTACGCCTCATTCCCATCATCAGCGATACAAACAAGGGATTCCAGGATGTGGGACAGTAGCCTCTTTGTGCGTTTGTGGTCGTGTGCGTATGGGAGCAAAGTTGAGAAGGGTTGCTGGACCGAGATTGCGTTTCATTTTTACATAATCCTTTCTCCTCCCAGCTTACTTCTTCACCACTTACTCTCCTCCCATCTTCTCTATTCCCAGCTCTCCCTCTCCCATCCATTCATCTCCCTCCTTTCCTGTCTCACTGCAGAAAATGCTGCCTCACTGCAGCGTGGTGCAACGAGATCACGCAGCACCAGAAGTGTGTGAATGAGTATTGGCTGACTGTTTGTGAGCTAACAAATAAAATAAGAGAGATGGAAAGGAGAGGGTTCCATCCACGGCCAATAACAAAGCTCTTTCATGGTATGGGTGTGTGTATGGCTGCTGAGTCAGAGCAAACAAGAAGAGAAAAGAATAGTAGGAAGGTCAGACATCAAATATGTTGTGGTAGCAAAGAAAGAACACAAGAAAAGAAGCATAAGTTTAGGTTGCTAATAGATAATGACGTCAAAGCTGCAAGCAATGATTAGGAACTTTTTGTGTTGGAAAGCAGATTACTCGATGCCCTTATGCAGGAGGAGTTCTGAGGTTTTCATCCTAACCGCACAACAGCGGCCAAAATCTTGACCCTATGAGCTAATGAGAGATTCATGAGGGTTAGGTTTTCTGGCGAGTATCTGCTGTGGCGTCACTGCTCCTCATCAAAATACGCCAGTTCAGCATGCTTCATTTGCACCTTCTTTTCTAGGCAAATCCTATTTAGAGCAGATTCAGAAATATTAGGAAGTATCACCCCTCATAATAAAGGAACATCTTGGGGTTTTTTAAAGTGAGCTAGGGGAAACAATATCTAGAGCAGGTGTTGCACATCAAGTGTCCTGAACCTTGTAGATGTTATTCCGTTTCAACACACCTGAACCAGAAGCTTAGCAGAATACTTGACAACTTGACCACATAGTGTGGACATAATTCAGCCATTGGGATTAGTGTGGAAGCAGATGCATCTAAAAAGGTGTAAAATGAGTTTCAGTAGAAACAGACAAAATGTTAAAGTCCTATTGCCTCGAGGACTTGAACTGAAGACCCCTGGTCAAGGTTTTTTTTTCAGGATGGAAATAAACAGTCTACATCTACAAGAAATGGTTCACCTAAATAATTAGGTGAAACCTCAACATTACAGGGAAAAAAACCCCCAAAAAAACAAAAACACACTACAGACGTGTTCGGAGAAAGCTTATAATGGACTGCAGATACATATATATGCACACACA